TCAGTGTTAGTAGTTTCATGTCAAGTGGACTTTACTCAATTGACGTTCATCGATAACACAGAGTGAAACATTTGCACAAACAAATCTGACAGTGAACGTCTCTCCTGAATAAAAGTGAAAGAAGGGAGAGGTTTGGACAAATAAACACCCTCTTATTATCCCGCCTTTTATGGAGAGATGTGCGGGGGTGGGGGAGGGGGGAAGGGGGGGTCTTATCTTGCGCACATCCAGGCAAAGGTTTGATGGAAGAAACAGACAGAGCAACAAAGCAGACTGTCTCTCACACTGAAGGAGGAGATGCGTATTAGACACCATGATGGACAGGGATGAGAACGAGCCGGACTGCATGTCTACTTCACCCGAANGGGAGGGGGGGTCTTATCTTGCACACATCCAGGCAAAGGTTTGATGGAAGAAACAGACAGAGCAACAAAGCAGACTGTCTCTCACACTGAAGGAGGAGATGCGTATTAGACACCATGATGGACAGGGATGAGAACGAGCCGGACTGCATGTCTACTTCACCCGAAGTCAAACCTAACCCCACGTCCTGTTCGCAGCTCTTTAACTCGACTTAAACGAATCAAAACCAGGGACAGCATGGAGGCTGATGGAGAGAAAACTTTACCCACCTGCGCTGACTGTTTACTAACGAATCTTTATGTGACATTTTGAATCAGCTGGATCTGGTTCTTTGAATGTGCAAGGTAAGTTTAAATTTTAATGTTGTTCACTAATAGTGATTCCGCTCAGGCTCAGCTGATCGCAGAACTAAGATGGTTTAAAACTTTAAAAAGGCAACTCGTGTAAGAACCATGATGAAATTGAAACACAAAAAGAATAGAGAACTGACCCTTCAAGCTACTCCTTCTGATCCCTGATAAATAACAAGTTTAACGCAGAAAAGAAATACGGCAGCCTATAAGTTACATCAATAAGAATGTTTTCCTTAAAACAAATAAAGAAACGCTTCCATCAATTTCCAGTGTTAATTCTTTTTACAAGCCAGAATATATCCTGTTCTCTATCGCATATTGATTCGACTTTTCATTTGTTTTAACTGAACAAAACAGGATTTAAAATATACATCATTTTACTAAATGACTCGATAGTGCACCTGCTGTTTGATATTGTGGTTATGAAATTGTTTCAGCACCTCGGACAGCGCCGGCGGCTGAGTAACAGCCNACACACACACACACACACACACACACCTAAGACAGCATGCTTTTTGTATAACTTAATTTAAATATTTCAAATGCAGGTGGGAAAGAACATTAGAACAGATTAGATCATTTGGTTGATCTCTAAATCATCTTGGCATTGCTTGAACGTTAGGCATGGCCAGGTGTTTAAATGCAGACACCCAGTTAATCTCTAATAACCCGCAGGGTTAAAATTCTGACAGAACGGATGAGTGGATCAGGCATCACATATTCATCGAGCCTCCTTTTGAGGTGGGCTGCAGTCAAATGAAAGGTAGATAAATCAAGTAGCAAAAGAAGAATAAATACTGTTTATTTCTTACTTTGTTGCCATGGTTTCCTGTAAGTCACAGTGACTCATTGATCCAAACTTTGTCTCTTTGAATGCCGATGCGCAGGGTGATCAGGATGGAGGATGAATAAACGAAGGCCATTAAACATATATCCAAATCCAACAAAACGTTTTATTCTCTCTTAATTAAACATGAAAAGAAGGAAAACACACATGGGCTCCAGGTTCTGAAAGGATAATAAAGATCAAAATACTAATTAAAGAAATAAGGATGAAGAAGCTTCTCTAAGACAAAAACAAATTGAAGGAGTAACACACTTCTTACCAGAAACTGCCAATCCATATGAAGGTGAAAAAACAGTGAATGAATGGAGTGAAGCCCTTAAATAGTCTTGTCGTGCCCAGGTGAACTCTATCAGGTAAATGAGGGGTGGAGGGAGAGAAAACAAGAGCCAATCAGTGATAAGGAAAGGAAAGGAAGTGCGGTAGGTGAAGAAAGGAAGAGGAAAATCAAAGAAAATAGGGATCTTTATTACATAATACTTGCAGCAGAAGGCCAGAATTGACATTATATAGATGATATACTTCTTACATGTGATCTATTTACTGATTTATGTGATTTGTTTGATAAAACCACCCGACAGAAAACAACACCACAAGAGGAGACAATTGTTTTGGCCTGTAACAGTACAACCCTTTGTCTTGGTCTCATGGTCTGCTCTGTTCTTGTTTTTGGTTTAGATTTTTTTTTTTTTTTTTGAATGATGTCTGTTCTGCAATTACTGCAGACAGCTGGGTTACAGCGAAACACACACTACAGCCACTACACACACACACACACACTCATGATCATGTCAACATCACACCCTCCAACCCTCAAGAGACTGACCGTGTCTTTCATTATATACCACGGAGCAAAGCTTTTCTCAGTAGCTCTCCCCTGAGTATTTTAAGCCGGGATGTCTCTTTTTTTTCTAATTGTTGTACCAACTCTTTTAAAACGTGCAGTGTATATGATGTTGATCGTTTAACAGTAAATCTGATGTTATATTCAGTGGAAATGAAACTGCTACATTAGGCCTAAACAGACTGAGGAAAAGCAAAGTAATGGAAACATTTCCTGCCCTCGAATCCATCAAGTCATCACTTAGAAAGATACGCAAATATTTATGTTTACTAACACAACTATTTTGAGAAATCATCCTCATCACATTACGTGTCTTTCCTCCAGTGATGAGCAGCGTATCCAGGCCATTTCCCAGCTGACAAGAAAGAAATGGTCACATGGTGGTTTGGAGAGAATGATAATGATGTTAGCCATATGCCAAGGCCTTCTCAATAATCACACATGATCCCAACTGAGCATTTATGGTGCCATTTCTGACAGCGTCTGAGGAAACATTTTCCACCATCGGCACAGAGGTGGAGGCCCATCGGTGATTTACTCACAATGATTATGTTAGTAATGATTAGCACTGACATTTCCCTCTTAGAGATGAGCAGATCAAAATGCCAGAGCCACAAGGCTACTCCTACCACATCTGACCACACACAACAGACTACAAACACACAAACTCATCCACAATATTAGGCTGTATACTATTCTATATTTCAAATAGCTTTCATGGAAAAAGATAGAGAAACCTTTATTAAAGTTGGTGTCCATCTTTTTTATTCTTGTTTGGATAAATGAGCTATTTTACAGTTCAGCTCTCAATTCATTTCCAACACAGACTGCCTATCCCTTCCCAATCTCCTAACCCGGTGCCTCTATCACCACTGGGCCTATTAAAGTGCTGCAAATGGCAGAGCATGTGGTGAAATTTTACAGCTTATGATCAAACCAAGTGCTATCCACAGGCCCACTCACCCCTCTTAAAAGCCTGTCTTGTCACCAGCCCCAGCTCCACTTGCACAGATATGACCCAATCTTCCTTGACTTGAAGGCTTTTAATGAAGTTTTTTAATGGGTAGACCACAGAAAATGTTTCAGTCTTACCCCGAAGGAGGCTTTTTTTCTTTCTTTCTTTTTTGTTTGTTTCTGAGATGAGACTTTAAAACAAATTTTACAAAATTTTCTTTCTATTTAGACACAGGTGCACACTTGACCTTACACAAGTGAAATCTTGGAAAACATGGCGTCAGTGTTAGTAGTTTCATGTCAAGTGGACTTTACTCAATTGACGTTCATCGATAACACAGAGTGAAACATTTGCACAAACAAATCTGACAGTGAACGTCTCTCCTGAATAAAAGTGAAAGAAGGGAGAGGTTTGGACAAATAAACACCCTCTTATTATCCCGCCTTTTATGGAGAGATGTGCGGGGGTGGGGGAGGGGGGAAGGGGGGGTCTTATCTTGCGCACATCCAGGCAAAGGTTTGATGGAAGAAACAGACAGAGCAACAAAGCAGACTGTCTCTCACACTGAAGGAGGAGATGCGTATTAGACACCATGATGGACAGGGATGAGAACGAGCCGGACTGCATGTCTACTTCACCCGAAGTCAAACCTAACCCCACGTCCTGTTCGCAGCTCTTTAACTCGACTTAAACGAATCAAAACCAGGGACAGCATGGAGGCTGATGGAGAGAAAACTTTACCCACCTGCGCTGACTGTTTACTAACGAATCTTTATGTGACATTTTGAATCAGCTGGATCTGGTTCTTTGAATGTGCAAGGTAAGTTTAAATTTTAATGTTGTTCACTAATAGTGATTCCGCTCAGGCTCAGCTGATCGCAGAACTAAGATGGTTTAAAACTTTAAAAAGGCAACTCGTGTAAGAACCATGATGAAATTGAAACACAAAAAGAATAGAGAACTGACCCTTCAAGCTACTCCTTCTGATCCCTGATAAATAACAAGTTTAACGCAGAAAAGAAATACGGTAGCCTATAAGTTACATCAATAAGAATGTTTTCCTTAAAACAAATAAAGAAACGCTTCCATCAATTTCCAGTGTTAATTCTTTTTACAAGCCAGAATATATCCTGTTCTCTATCGCATATTGATTCGACTTTTCATTTGTTTTAACTGAACAAAACAGGATTTAAAATATACATCATTTTACTAAATGACTCGATAGTGCACCTGCTGTTTGATATTGTGGTTATGAAATTGTTTCAGCACCTCGGACAGCGCCGGCGGCTGAGTAACAGCCACGAAGTCCCGTCACAAGGGGGCAGCACGAGTCCCTCATATTTTAGGGCTCTTTGTACCATAAATGTTTTTCAACTTGGCCAAGAAAGAATAGAAATATGACAACTAAAAAAAGCGACAACCACAGATGTAACGAACAGAAAGAATCACATTATTGCTAAAATAGGCTAATAAAGGCTAACTGTCTAGTCTAGCCTACTACAAAGCTAATTCTAGTTCCTAGTTCTTAGCACTTTATCATAAAGTTACAACAGAAGTCAAAACAAAACATCACAACAACAGTATTTCAACTAACTTCTGCTGTTGTTCTCAGGACATTTGCAGCGTGAGGACAGGAGCACGATGCTCAGTCCTGACCGGCCCGAGCCCGAGCTGCACTGGGGACAAACAGACACAGAGACCCCGTTGGACGATGTTCAGTGTGGCTCCATGTCAGCCGAGCCCGTGCACGTGCCCGCCCTCAGCAGGGAGGAGAAGAGGCGGAGGAGGCGCGCGACGGCTAAATATCGATCCGCGCACGCCACCAGGGAGCGGATCCGTGTAGTGGCCTTCAACTTGGCCTTCGCAGAGTTGAGAAAACTGCTCCCAACGATCCCACCAGACAAAAAGTTGTCCAAGATTGAGATCCTGCGACTCGCGATTTGTTACATCTCCTACCTCAACCACGTGCTGGATGTTTAGGCTGTAACGTGGTGCCCAGCTGGAGGAAGGACAGAGGCAAAATTACTATCTGTAAACAGCCAGGAAGGATATTGATCCAGGATTTGAGAAACACCCTGTATGTGAGGGGTTAAAGGTCATGTTAAACTGGTGGAGTTGCCCCGAACACAGACACACTGTAGCCTGCTGCAAATCCTGTGGTTGTTATGGGAATATCATATTGACTTGTCACCTTGGGAAACAGCAGCAGCCTGCAGCACTGCTGTAGGCTTGCTCTCATGGAAAGGATGGAGAGAATGTGAATTATTTTTGAGAGCTGCTGTATGATATTTATGTTTCCAAACTACTAAAACATTTCAGTGCTTGACCTTGTATGCCTTGTCTTTAGTCTGCTGGCCTCTATGTTGTGACTTGGATTCCTGTTTGCACCAATTTGTAAATATATTTATTTCAAATAGTCGAGTGGTCTTTTATGCACTTTTGCTATGTGGGATTGAGCTGCAGCTGAAATTGCATTCAAAATCCATTTGTTGGAAATAAACTGTGACAGCTTAAAATGTTTAAGAACCCTGTTTATTGCTGTTATATAACAATATCTCTGAAGCCATTAGGTTTTGCAGTGGCTGATTTCAAGGCCTTTTTAGATTTCATCTTAAAATGTGTCTTCTAAAAGCATTTTTATTTGAGATTTTTATTTTAATTTATTTACTTATTTATTTAGTGCTTTAGCTTTTGCATGGGGCGGGGGGGGGGGGGGGGGGGGGGGTTCTCTCCCTCTGGATGGGGCAGGTGTTTCACCAGACAAACCACAACATCCATATGATGGCCGTTGCCATCCATCTGCCTCCTCTCTGGGGGCACACACACACACACATACGCACATGCACGCACGCACACACACACACACACACAGACACACACAGACACACACACACACACACACACAAATGAGACATTAATGTGAACGAAGAAGAAGAATCCAGGTCATGGTATCTCTTAGAACCACGGGACATTATATTTTAGGTTCTGTGTCTCTTAGAGCTTTATTTTATGTTAGTATGTGGCAGTAACAGGCCAAATTCACATTTTCCAATTATTTCCAACACTGGCTATACTATCGTACTGTCAGCAGCAAACAGTAGAAGTCTATTTCTAAAGACAAGTGGGACAGAACAGAGAAACTACAATCATATCTAAAGTTTTGGTTCAGTGTTTTCTGGATTAAGGTGAAAATGTTTTGGTTAAGATATGAATGTAGCAGCACCACAACAAGGGTAACCTTGTAAGGGAACCTGCTGTTAAAGATTTTTTTTTTTATCTTCAACATTGTTTAGCACAACTGGCCTACTTTCTTTATCATTTCATTTAGTTAAATTAGATCATGCATAATTTATAGTAAAATAAAAAGAATAAATAAATCATTGAACATTTGAGGTTTTCCTCAGTGTTTTGACATACTGCCCTGTCTTTCCACATCACCAAAAGATGCCTTTTATATCGTATGAGATCAGGCTGTGAATGTGAAGTCCCGCTTGTCTCCTTGCCTTTTCTCTCCATTAGTCAGAGGCTGTCTGCGCTATTTCTCTCGTCCCTTTATGCGAGTCTCTGCGGTGTAATGTGGCCCAGGGGGCTCTGGGTATTGTTCATGTCCACTCCAGCAGTAAGAGTGACAGCCTTTTGTCTACACACTGCACATTACACACACTACACACTGATCTACACACTGAGTATGTTAGGGAGTAGAGGGAGAGACGCCAAACCTAACATCATATTTTAAGATAAATGGGGCAGGAAATGTTATTAGGCCCATACATAGCTTATTATCTTTAGCCGATATGGGTAAAATACTAAAACTTCACTGGAACTGTGGAATATTTAAGTCTGCCTACAGCTCCTTTGTACACCACAGTGTCTGGAAATTATTGAATTTTGTCTTTAAGTTAAAATTTACTTACATGTTTGAACAGGTTCAGAGCTGTGGTTTGATGTTTTCCTTCTCTAAACGTCCTTCCTGCAGATATAATCTTGAATTGGGAAAAGTCTCGTAAAACAGTGTTTGGAAGGAGCAACACTGCCCTCTGATGGAGTTTCATAGAGGGAAATCTAACTGTAAAAAGTTCATATCCACTTCATTTATATGCTTGGTATATATTTTGAAAGGAGTCTTGCTTGTATGGACATATGTATCTGTATCATGACAGTATGCTTTTTTTCTTTTTTTGCACAAGATCTTTACTTGATTTCACCTGGCGTCACAGGTGCCGTAACTGATTAAGCCAAGTTTTCTGTGTGTGTGCCTTGATTAATTGAAAACGCTGCTTTATTTGCATTGAGTTACTGTTCTTCAATCATATCACATGAGCTTTATCAGCAAATGTATTGCCATTCAATTGCAGATGTTCAAATTTAGAAAGAAGTGCCCGGACAGAACAGCTGCTAATGGAGCTCGAGGTGAATTTGTTTTGAGGTCAAGAAGAAGCTTTAAAACTCAACACTTATATATTGTGTATTACTGATGTTATCGTTGCTGTTGCTTTTGTTGTTGTTCTTGATGCTCACAGTAAATAAAATGTTGCAAACATTTCTTGAACTTTTTTTTTTCTTGCAGCCTGTTACCACTGTGGCATTTCTTGTATATTCTCTCTCTTATATTCTTATGCTGGCATATGTGGCCCTATTGTGTGTGTGTGTGTGTGTGTGTGTGTGTGTGTGTGTGTGTGTGGTAATAAGATTACACAAAAAACAATTCAGGAATATGGACCTTTGAAGATAGATTCAATAATGAAGATCTTAAAACTAGATTTTCACACATAATCAGATATTTATGTAAGACCCCTCTTAGAGTCCTTATCTGTGAACATGGGGCTTTTGGGGCCCCTGGGAGTTGCCAGCTTTGCCTGGTTGGTAATCCAGCCTCAACAGTTTTTCACAAGCATACCTGATGATTTCAGTTTAGGTTAGTGGAATGATTGTGGATATTTTGGGATATTTCTTTGATCTTATTATGTAATGAAAAACGACAGGGTTTAATATGTCTTTGCATGATAATAAGTGTTTGACATGGTATTTCAGCAAATAAAGTTTGATAAAGTTCAAATTCTTAAAAACGCATCTACTCCCTTTCCCTTGTTGAAAAATTGAGTAGGTTTTGTGAATATGCAGGACAATCAAATATTTTTCATGTCAGAAGTTTAACTGTTAGACACAAGATAACTGTTTCACTGTGTATGTGCACTGAAGGCTCCGAGTTTCCACATCACACCCTCTGTAAGTTTCACACTGGACCAGTGGCTTCTAAACCAGTGATGTAATGTCACAAAAATCAAAGTCAGATTCAAGGTGCATATAGGGAAATTTCCCTCTTTCTGCAGATGCATGTGAAAACAGCCTTCTATGCACATACATCACTTTGCAAAACGAATGTTAATCATGCAAGTGAAGAAACAGGCTACACTTTCTTTTCTTTTTTTTACTTGATTGGACAGGTGTCTTTAACTTGACAGGGCAGATACAGGCTACCAACTTCACCTCGTTGACGCTCCTGTACAAAGCAGCTCTGAAGCACGACCTCTTGTGGGCTACGGCTGAAAATAATCTTTTTAGTGCACTTGGAGTGGATTGTACCTCCATGCTGCCTTCCTCTCCTCTCTCTGGTCCTGCTTATCACAATGGCCAGGCTCGTATGAGGGAGCTGCCTCTCAGTTCACTACAGTCTCGCCTCACAGCAGCAGCCGCAGCAGCTCCAGCGTCGGCAGACTCACACCGAGGCGCAAGTGAGGGAATATGACACACATCTGAGGAAAGAGGTAGGTTTAAAGAAATGTAATCGCGATGCTGTGTTCATTACACCGGCTATATCCTGGCCAAAAAGCCTGAGACACAACCCCACAGAGGAATTACTGATGAAGTTCAATGCTGTCGTCGTTGGGGAAAAATGGTTTCCTTCAAACCAGACACCTTTAGTCTGTGCTCCTCCTAACCCACATTAATGTGGAGGTTACCCTATTGCTTTATATCTGCTCCAGTACCTCTCATGTGTAAAAGAATTGACTGAACCAACAGAATGCATGCATTATTTCAGGTGATGCTCGCTTATATGTCCCACTGTGGGTAATTGGCTTCCGGATGCGACTTGAAACGAGATCTATTGTAACCGAAACTGCAGCTGTGTAATAGAGAAGTATCGCCACATGCCTTGCTCTCTCTGCCTCTCAGACTCCGGAGCCTATAAAATAAAGGGCGTTTCAGTGTGTCGCCATCAGCAGCAGCAGCAGCAGCAGCTTTCTGGACAGCACACTGTGCACAGCTGGATGAGGTGTTACTATGGCTGAAGACGTTTCACGTGTGACACTATCGGTGTCGTCTCTTTCACAGTGTCCCTCAGTCAGAGGCGTGATGCTGCAGTGAAACTGTGCGGAACCTACTACCATGTATTATTGAGGAGTGCTGATAGGTGATGTGTGGAGAGGCTGAAAGAACGCTGTGAGGTATGGGAACGCCTTCAATAGGCTAGATTAGTCAGCCCCTGGAAGCCATTCTTGCCATGAATGATCAAAAGAAAGTGTTGTTGGCAGTGCTTTTGTCATTGTTCTCTTTTTAAAGTGTTTTTTCTGGCTGGCAGGGCAGAGTCAGAGAGGTGTAATGAGAAATGGAGCCACCTTTCAGCTCCCTCCAGGCTACAGAGGAGCATTAGGATCCTGCAAAGCTGGGATAGCACGGTGTAAAGCGTGATGCGTTGTAGGGTTAGTGTACAGTAGTGACATGGAAGCACTGCTCTTACAGTAGGAATGTACTGAGGTATCTCTTCCACAACCCTCCCACCCGGTATCACCTCGCTCCCTCTCCCTGCTCTACTCTACTTTTACTTAGTTCCACATGAGCAGCTCAGAGGGGACTAAGTTTGCATTCCAGAGAACTGTGTCAGGTCTTAACTTTCTCCTCTTACTCTGTGGGTGTACGTGCATGAGTGCGTGTGTGTGTGTGTGTGTGTGTGTGTGTGTGTGTGTGTACAAGAACAGCAGGGTTGGAGTGATTGAGAGTCTATCCAGTCACTCAAAGGTCACAGGTTTAGCATCTCAGCACATACCCCACCAAATGTGTTTGTGCCAGGAATCCAATGTCAGATTTGTGACAGCAAACAATGAAAGGAAAATACACAGGAAACAAGTGTGTAATTACATCATGTGTCCTGGTGGTGAGGTCACTACAATAAGTTTTTTTTTTTTTTTCCTGTTTCCATGGGGGTTTCGCATCTTTGCATCTTTGGCTCAGTTTGTGTTATTTGATTCAGTCAGTGATGCTATATGTTAATCAGCATCTGCTCCTCTGGATTATCTGACATCCATGACTGGACTGGAGATTACTATCACTTTTAATAACAGTGGGTGTCAACCTTTATTTTATTTCAGAGAGGTTTTAACCAGCTTATTGGACTATGTTACTTGTGTGTGCTTTTGCATTATATGTTCTATTTTTGCTTTTAAAGAAGGTATTTGATGTTTAATTGCACAAAATTGATATACAGCTGAAATAATTGCTCAATGAATTGATTAGTTGATCGACAGAACATGAATTAGCAACAATTGGAATATGAAAGTTTGTGGACATTGGTTGGACAAAACAAGCAATTTGAAAAAGACTGCGATGTCCATTTTCACATTTTGTAGACCAAAATAGAGAATATCAGTTTAATTGATAATGAAAATAGTCATTAGTTGCTCCCCTAAAATATTATCATTTGTATATTTTGTGCAGTAGATGGAAAATTTGTAGACTGCTTTTAAATTGTGAAACAACTGATAAAGGAAATAACAGAGCAGACAGACAGCTGCTGCATCTGGCAGATTTTGGCATGATGCCACCAGGGCAGGGCACACATGAAGGAGGGAAGGAAAGGCACAAGGGCTAATGGGTGTGAGGGCGGGCACAGATGCCATGGTAACCAGGCCTCAGCATGTTCTCTCTAGATGAGCTATGGGACTGATCTGTGCCATTTAGGGTGACAACGCTGCATCACACTTCGATGGAATCTCAAATTCCACACCTCTTTTTCTCTGCCCAGTTTGGAGGTCACATGCCTCTGCAGGACACTGCACTACAATCCCACATTCTCAGGATCATTATTAAGTGATGAGTTAGGTCAGCAGGGGGAAAAAATGCTGTAAAGAATCTGACCTATCAGATGTTGCAGCTCTCCCTACAGATAATCACACATATTTGTTGCAATAGTGCCTCTCTCCTATATATAAGAATAAAATTTAAAAATGAATCCATACTTCTACATGAGCCTGTATCGTTGAGTCTGTCCATGTGCGATTACAGTAGCTCCCACTGCGCGACAACCTCCATCCGCTAAACAAACACATTAATGAGTTTGTTTTACATTAGTGTCACTTTCTGCCCTCGTGAATCTCTTTCTCTGTGCAGCCAACCAGAACTGTCTACAGCGATGCAACTACGCTTCACCAGACAATATATTTCCTGCACAGACTCCCTCACAGAGGAGCGACAGGATTTTTTGGATGGGTCAACTGACAGTAAAAAAAAAAGGGGGGCTGCAGCAGATCTCTGATCCGCGTTGTTATTCCCGCATGCTTTATTCATAGTTATCCGTTGGTTTGTAACTGATAGTTTTTCTTACCCCGTGGCTGCGATTTTCCACATGGCCTGGTTCACTATGCCTCTTCATGCTCGTCTCGTGGATGAGTGGCTTCTCAGGGGGATCATCTTGGCCCACATACCACTGCCACGCGTTCAGAGATCAGCACTCAGGGGGTTAACAGCTTTTATTCAAATCATAGCCTCATTCATTTAACCATACTGGTACTGGGTGTGATGAGAGGCCATTGTTTGCTCTTTGTGCCCCCTCCCTGTGCCCCCCCACCACCACCACCTCACTCTCTCACTCAGGCACACACACATAAGTGTATCACGCAAATTTACTCTCAGCAGGGGTGATTGATTATTGCTGCGAGATGGGGCCTCCTGCCTCCGGTGTTGCCAAGGCAACAGTGGACGCTCTGGATGTGGGTTATAGATGAGAGATATGACTGTCCTGTGTCAAAACTCTGGTTTGTGTTTAAAATTTGATGCTGCGACATCAGCTTTGATGCTATGAGTGCTATGTTCTACTGTGTTGCAAGTGCATTATTCATTGACGTCCTGCATATCTGCAGCTCCGTCTTTTTCAGCACTATGCTCCCTTGCTTTTAATAGCACAAGCAATTGCATCAGTGGAGAATGATGTCATACTCACTCTCAGAGAAAGTGGGCTTTCTGTCACCGCAGCATCTTTTTATACCTGGATGCTACAGGTCTGTGAGATAATACAAATTCTAGCATTTGTCCTACATGAGTAATACTATAGGTTCTGGCAGTGATACTACGTAAAATATATGCATTATATAAAAATCCTTAATGGAAAATCTGTGGTTTCTCATATGCATCAGCCACATTTCCCTCAATGGGTAATGAAGGGAAAGAAAAACACTCATATCATCTTAATGGAAATCAGCTACATTGCAGTGTAGCTTCTTCCAACCATCACTTCCACAGAATGATGTCTATGCTGCTGTGTGGATTCACATCCTAATATGCTGAATGGGCTAATTTAGTGTTTGTATGCACCACTGGCTGCAGAGATAACAAATAGCCTGTAAACAATGAGGGGAGTATAATCCCAGTAAGTGAAAGGAAACTGGGCCGGGGTTTGGTGATTGGCAGGTGGACAGGGTGTAGATTAAGGTCTAAATGAATGGTCATGCATGATGAAGCAAGAAGACATCCTCGTGCATCACACAGCATGCATTAAGGCCCAGGAAGTGAGTCTGGTGTTCTCAGTCGGAACACAACAACAGGATGGAGAGGCGGTTCATGTAGATACAAACCTGAGAATTCATTTTCAACTATTTAGTTGAATTTTTATGAACCATACTGAACCATAGCTATCACAGATTTTGTTTTTCATTTAGTTTAATTTTATTTTACTGTTTTGTCCATTTGTAGATTTTAGCAAACTGGTAGGAATGAAAAACATATGCTTGCTGGGTATATTATATATAAGTGAGTTCAGTCCACTGGTTTTAGACTTTTAGAATAAATGAAAAATCCAAATCATAAAATTAAGATTTCCTTTACATGAGATTTCCAAAATCCAAACAGCAACCCAGTCTATCAATCTATTAGCATCTTGTAAAAGTAGATATCATATTGTTTCCAATATGGCATTTCCTGTCACCTCTTCTAATCGTGCTGGTTGAAACTGGTTGCTCTGGCCTCTGTTTTCTCCCTGAAGCTCTTGTAGGTTTTCTCAACTAAGAATTTTATTTGGTTTAGTTTTTATTTACCCTCACTATATTTAACCAAGAAGTCTCCTGAGATTCATTATTCCTTTTACAAGAGAGACCTGGCCAACGTGGCAGCATCAAGACGAAGTCACATTAAAAAAACAAAAAAACAGACATAATTAATTTGAGAAGTGTAGGCTACATTCTGGCATGAAGGCAGTGTTTCCAAATAAAGTTTGTCTTATATGTAATGAATATGTAGTTTTGCCAAGTTCAGAACCGACTCTGGGGACACAGAAGATTATCCACTCATTATCAGTCTTACCACTGTTAGAGGAACAAGCATTATACAGAGGTAGACAAGAATAAACCTGCCTGGCCCATACATTAATAATTGATCATTTTATGTATCTACCTTCCCTACCAGCCCTACAATACAGAGCAGTTGTAATAAACATGGTTGGTTGGTTACGCTGATATTTCGATCACTGGTCGTTCTGTTCTCCTTGGAAACACGTTGAATGGTAAGAATCAGCAAAGTCTTGAAATGTGTCAGCTGGTAGCCTGGCTGTTATACTCTATCTGATGCATGATTTGTTAGACTAGCACGCTTTGAAGCAAACCTCCCTCTCATACCTTCCTATTTCTCCATCTCTCAGGTCAATGTGGCTACTAAAGCAGCTCTCTGGGGTAGTAGTCAGCCATCGTGGATTCCTGAGGCTCGTCTCTATAGCAACCCATTCCTCCTCCTGAGCATTGCTGCCAACTTACCCTCTCTGCCACGCGACGACTCTCTCCTCATCCCCCCTGCCCAATCACCGCCTCTGACCTGCGTTTGGAATGGACACTGAGTCGACCCACTCGGGCTACTCCTATCACTCCAGCCGCTCCGGGAGATCAAACCGACATGGGTATGTTTCCTGTCTGTCTGCCTCTCCATCTGATGTGTCTGCTCCCCCACTGTACCTGTCTATCCCTCCCTTTTTGTTGTTTTTGCTGGATCATCTGTCGCCCCTTGCTATGTTTTTTTTTTTTTTTTACCTTCGGTGCATATTGAGTTTGTTGTGTTTGCCCTCTGTTTGGGCGGGCAGCATGTTAGTCAGAGCCAGATAAATGAGATGAGAGACTAAGAGAGAGACAGAGCGGGAGCAAGCAAGAGATTGAGACAGATAGAGCTCATGGATTAGGGTCGTCACAGATGAGTGGCTCTAACCTATTTCAGTGATTTACTCTACTCTGTCTATTCTGCAGATGAGAGAAGCATTTGATTTACGTCCTGTCCATTCCTCATTCCTGTGATTGTCTGTTGGAGTATTCGTAGTCTTCCCTTCCCACCAGCTTTTTGCCATGAAGGGCTGTGGCAATTATTTTCATTATTAACCTGTCCATTATTTTCTTGATTTTGTTGATTAATCATTTGGTCTATAAAATGTTGGTAAATAATAAAAACTTTAACATTTGAGATGCTGGACCCAGATTTTTTTTTTTTTTTTGGCATCTTTATTTCAAACAAGATTTAAACAATCAAATATCAAAATTCTTACAATCAACTTATAGACTTAATGCTTTATCTTTAGTTTTGTGTGCGTTTTGCTTGTTTACATGAATATATACCTGAAATGATTAATTATGGGGATTTGAACTCCCACTTCAAAATTTTACTGTGTTTGTGTGGTATTTTTTTTCCAACATCAGATGAGCAAAACAATTAATCAAAAAAATAATCACTAGTTAGTATATTGGAACATTAGGGTTACGATCTTATATTTATGTTTATGTGTCTATATTTCTCTCATTCTTGTGTTTGTTTCCCAGGGATCGAAGCCGTGAGCGGCACAAGGCCAGCAGCAGCAAAGACAGCAGTCGCTCTGAGAGGTCTGTTGTCATCAACCCCCCCGACACACCATCCCAGGACTCCCCTGTTCACAATGGAGAGCCACTGCCCGGAGAACCCACACCAGCGGTAGATCCTGGCGATGACGCCCAGGTATTGATACTGAAGACAGTACAGTGCAGACCGGAGTAACCTGTGAATGAACACAGGCTGTGTGTTTTTGAGAGGCATAGTTTCAAACAGTCTTTGCAGTAATCACATTCCTGTAGAGGAAATCAGAAGGCCCAGTAATCCAGCTATGAACTCCACACCCCGACCTTATAAACTCATCCTCACACAGCTGGCTACACATTGCCTCAGCGCCTGACACATAATAACAATGGTGACAAGGGATCAAATAGGCCACAGGATTAGCATCCCTCTTGTATGCCCGAATGGATTTGTACGGACAATGCTGTGTTACAGTGTGTGTGTGTGTGTGTGTGTGTGTGATACTGGGTATAACTGTCAGGCCTGATAGCTTTAAAGCAGAGCAAATTGGTACCAGTCAACGCATAAAGCTGATTTTGCTGAGCTCTGCGAGCAAACTAGGTTTTAAGTTGGCACAGGGAAGCGAAATGCTGTGATAACGCAGCTCAAAGACAGAGTGGATCTTTAACTACGTCAACTCTACAGGGATTTAGGATGCAGTCCAATATTGTGATCACTGTTTAAAGAAGTAGGTGGATGAGAAGATCAATAACATTTTCATTCTGCTATGCTAAGCTAATTTCCATATATTCTAAATTCCAGCTTCATATAGATAGATAGATAGATAGATAGATAGATAGATAGATAGATAGATAGATAGATAGATAGATACTTATCCTTCTTCAAGAAAGCGAAGAAGTGCATTTTTCAAAATGTCAGACTGCTCTTTTCAATGCAAAGGGTCAGGTAATGAATGCAATGAAAGGTAAAGAAAACATGGTGAGATGTAGAGGAGGAAAAAAAAAAGAGTTATAGATATTCTTCTCTAGAGGGAACTCTGCCCAAGGCTGCCGTCACAGCCTCTCTGACCTACTTGAAATCTATAGTAAGAGGAGAGTATTTACTGTTAGTTTATGTGTAAAAGAGAGAGAGAGAGAGAGAGAGAGAGAGAGAGAGAGAGAGAGAGAGAGAAGGAGTGCGTGTATGTAGAGGGCCTGAGTACGAGTCGCCTGCAAAAAGGTGTACTTCCCCACACTGATAGTATTATTTAATGTGATTAGGATTTGGACATGTTTTCAGCCAGACTTTCTAACACTCTGAGGTCTGACCTATTTTGCCGTCTATGCTCAGCATCCCCTTCTGTCTGGGCAGCCACATTCCACGCTGTCATGTGATTGTCAGCTTGTAGCTTACATCCATTGTCGGCAGTGTAAGGTAATCTGCCATTGTACTGCATTAGCCCTCCAGACTAATGTGTCCAAATGGCACACCAGCGCACCACCGTTACCATCACCACCATTACCAAAACTTCACTCCTGCCAGTGCTTTTTTTTTTTTTTAGAGCAGATCTGTTCGAAACATGCAGACAGACATTCTCACAGACTGAGATTAGCCTTAGTATCCAGCCAAACGCCACTTTGAGGAAAGCTGATATGAATAATCCTCTATGTTTACACGCATGCCTATGACATAAGGATACGCTCTTGCACCACAGCTTCTGTGCAAGTGTGTGTGTGTGTGTGAGTCATAGAGCGAGTGCCAAATCTGTTACTGAGACTGTCCACGCTGCTTTGTGAGACTTAGACACTGTGACTTTGTGCCAGAAGGCAGCAGCTTCAATTTCCTCATGTTAGCTCTAGCAACAGCAAAGCATATGGTGAGGAGCACATATCCTTGTTTTGGCATTCCACACTTTGCTCCTTTGCGCAGCTTATTTATATGGGTGTAAATACACCTAGTCACAGCTAACCACCACAATCAAAGGAATGGAGTAAATTGAATGAAACCTGTCCTGTCTCACAGGTCCTATGACTCATTTTAACACAAACGCACACACACACGCACACACTCTGACACTAATACCCTCACCAACACCAGCGCAAACAAACCAACATGTTAGTGTCAGTCTAACCTCCACCCAGGCCAGTGGGGCTCAGCCATTGTGTTTTCTGGCTGGCAGACTGTTATGTGTGAGTCTCTGTGAGCAGTGCTAATCAGTATGTTGTTGTATTGTTGTGCTTTGTGATGGTGGAACAGGCCTAAGCATAATCCATATTCACCCTCTGCCAGACGAAAAGACTGCCAAGCAAGCGGGCAGCCGACGTGCTTCTCTCTCTCTCTCTCTCTCTCTCTCTCTCTCTCTCTCTCTCCTCCTCCGTTTCATTCTCTCGGTTATTTACACTTTCCCCTCACTTTACAGTATATAGAGATCAGGTCTGATTAGTGCAGCATTAATCTTGGGGATTAATCCACCGAGACTTAATGGCTGCTTTTTACAGCGTATTAGCTCAGCCAATGATACACTGTCTTCCTCCACTAAATGAGACATTAGCATGAAACCTTGTCTGTATAAAAGTCTGGCTTTATAAACACCTTGGCAGAGAGACTGTGTGGGAGACTGAAATATTCAGATCACACATTCAAATAGAGTCTGATGAGCTATTAGGGTGCATATGTTTAAGTGAACTGTAGAAAAAAAAATTAGTTGTAATAAAATAGATGCAAACTATTTGCATCCGCACTAATGTTTTGAGGTTGTTACCACACAAATACGACAGGAAAATAACATAAAGTAAATCTCTTTATTCTCTCTCAGTCCACAAGCAATAAAACTGTGCCTCATAGCCAACATCTGGTGAGGAGTGGCACAGACAGTCTGGTTTCTCTGCTGAGTCTGAGCTAGTTAATCCTGTGATGTGTCCCCTTCTGCTCTCCGTGAAGTATTTAAAGGGAAGAATTCGACATCATCAGAAACATTTTCACACGCTTTCTTGCAGAGCACTAGATGAGTCGGTTGTCTCATACTGTGTCTATCTGTTCAATGTTAAGATACAACCAGCAGCTGCTTAATTCGGGATAGTTTAGTCACCAGACAACAATCAGAGACACCAGGGAGAAGTCACTGCACCCAGCCAACAAAAACTCCCACAAAAAACAAGTCATAAAAACAAAAATTGTCATTTTTACACTTTGATTTGTGTACAAATGAAACAAAGGAGATGTAATGTGTTAAATAGTGAGAGGAGTTAGCGGTTCCAAGCTGTTCTCCAGTCTTGCGAAGCTAAGCTAACAGGCTGCTGGCTCCAGCTTCGTATTTATCGCACAGCCATAAGTGTGGTATCAGTCTTCTCATCAAAATCTTGCCAATGAAGTGAGGAGGCATATTTCCCTATAATGTTGAGCTGTTCGTTTGATGCTGCCAAACTCGTTTTAGTTGCACTCAATTTAATCTTTTTCTGTTTCTGTCGTCAAAAAACAGAAGCAAAAGCATAAAATACCAATCCGATCAAGTTCATTAATGATAACTGTTTATCTGCCAAACAATAATGCAGCTACAGGACGCTGATGAACTCAGGACATCAGTAACTTATGAATGTGAAGTCATGTCGTGGAATAGTCATAGATGCAGGTGTAATTACCATACCTGTACCATGTAATCGGCTACATTGATATTTAAAATGAGCGATCATGGAGGGACAGTTTTACTGTGCTCAGCTGTGTCTGAGCAGGCATGGATTTAAAATTTTGTAAAAGCTTCATTATATCCAGTCTGCACCAAAAACCCAAAGAGGTATTTTCAGATTTCAGATTTTGAGTGAGAAAAAACATCAATCTAGTGTGGGGAGAAAAGGAAGCATTTTCAAATTTATCCGGCCCCTGGTTTTCAAAAGGACTAATTAACGTCTATTGAGGTGTGGAATGGCACACAGTTTACAGATACTGTAATACTAATTCTAAAAGGTTGGGACCCTGTTAAAGAGAGTTGGCTTAAGAGAGAAAAAGGAGCAAAAGAGGAAAGATGTGAGCTGAATAAAAATGAGACTGGACAGTAAATGGAGCTGACGTTACACTTAACGAAGCTGACCTCTGGCTTCATACATTACTCTGGCAGACGGATACCCCCGCTGCTATCTTACACTCTCATCGCTGCCATCCCCCTCTCTCACTTTCCCTGCGTCTCCTCCTCTCATTCATCTTCTGGCTTCTGTTGGCATCTGCTCCTCCTCAGTTAATTGGCTGTGAACAGTAATAGGGGCAGAATTCATATTTATGTTGCATTTTCGTGATTGGAAATATGCAAATTCAATGTTGAGTTCATAGTTCAGATTCCACGAATAGCAGCAGGGTCAACTTTATCTGTAAATGTTTATAGTAACTTTTAAATGGCCCAAAATAGCACATTTTAGAGTGGGATACAGGCAGGTGAAAAATAATGTGACTGTCGTTTCCCTGCAGGTTCATTTCAGGTTGCTTAGGTGTGTGTGTGTGTGTGTGTGTGTGTGTGTGTGTGTGTGTGTGTGTGTGTGTGTGTGTGTGTGTGTGTGTGTGTGTGTGTGTGTGTGTGTGTGAGAAGCCATAAAGGCTTATTCTGTTCAGCTTGTCATTTTTTATCCCTCATCCCTCTCACTGCAGCTGACACTCCTGTCATTGGTTGTAGTTGGAGATATGCACAATACAGTGACACTCTGGGGGGACAATGAATGGCTAATTACATGAATTAATGGCAGGCCCACAAAAAAAAATGCCTCTTTAGAACAGACTTGTCATTAATTTATTCTCCCTGTGTCTCTTTGTTGAAAAGATTTATGCTTAAAATTACCCTGCTGGCAAGGAAGAAAAAAATGTGACTCTAATTTGCAATGATGGGCTTGGAAAGCTTCAGTTGTTGCGGTTCAGTGTTTGTGTGTGTGTGTGTGTGTGTGTGTGTGTGTGTGTGTGTGTGTGTGTGTGGACCTTCATATGTCAGCACGTGCAGCTTCCTGCCAAAGTGAGCATTACTCCACATCCCATCCTGTCATCCTATATTACTTCAATGGGACTTTGAAGGCTTGTCATAATGAGGCAAAACTCCAAGAAAATCAAATGTCTCTAAATAGCATGAAGAATGTGCTGCGCATCATGCAAAGAAGGGAGTAAAATAGAAGAATGGAAGCATTATTGTCTGTGTGATTCAAGTTTCTATTTACCAGTTAATTTGCTACTTTCTTGTGAACTTTACTCTGGTTAGTCTATTTTTCTAAGGGGTTTTATTGGCCCTGCAGGTTTTGAGATATTTGGCTCAGCTTTATTTGAAAAAAACATTTAGAGCTGCACAAAGCAATATTTTTGCATCAACAATGAATCAAAAGAATATATGAAATTTGAAAGGTGTCAGCCATAGAAACAGATCCACAGAAACTTATCCAAATCTGCAGTTCCCCTTCGCGCTCCAGAGCATCTTACAGCTCACTGTTTTGGTATTCTGAACCACAAAAAAAGTTCTGATAAACCCACCATATGCTACCTGTCTGTCACAAGTTTCTGAAAAAAATCAGTTTAAAAATTTCAAAAATCATTTTTTTTCTTTTGTTTGTTGTTTGCGTTTTGAATTTGAGCGAAGTGACCCACTAAGCTCCAACACAGATAATCGAAAAAAAACACACCTTTCCTTCACCTTCCTTTCTGTTTCCCCTTTCAGGATGATAACTGGGGCGAAACCACCACCGCAGTGACAGGCACCTCAGAGCTGAGTGTTTCCCAGGAGGAAGTGGTTGGACTGGGGAAGGGAATACAGGACAGGACCCAAGGCTTCCGTCGCTATCTTCCCCTAGCTGTGGGCTCATGTGTGGGGCTGCTGGTCCTGGCAACGCCCCTGGTCTTCTTGCTTCTTCCAGCTGTAATGTGGCCCGACAGACTGCAGGCTTGTGGTGCAGCCTGCGAGGGCCTCTTCCTCTCCATCTCCTTCAAGCTCCTCATCCTCCTAGTGGCCATTTGGGCCTTGTTTCTCCGACCGGGTCGCGCCAGCCTGCCCAGGGTGTGCGTCTACCGTGCCTTCCTCACTACACTCACGCTCCTGCTCACTATGTCTTATTGGCTCTTCTATGGAGTCCGGATCCTCGATGCACAGGTGGGTTTGAGACTATCGTTATGGCTATAAAGATTATATGTACCCTCTGTCATTCTTTACAAAACATTTGTTTTAAATTACTGCTATTCTAGGTTTGAAATTATATTTTTTGTAATTCAATCAAGAGTTTAAGGCATTCATTTTAAACAATGCTGAGGCTGATGTATCAAAGCTGCGATCTGAAAATAATGCACAACCAATCAGAATCAACAAATGATTGTCCTCAAATTTATTTTTCATTAAGCTTATTCTGACTTTTTTTCACACACACAAGCATATATCCATCCATCCATCCATCCATCCATTGTACATTGTGCTGTGTATGTATATAAGAAGGACTTGGTGATACAAGTGTAAATCACAAGATGGAGTTTTTTATTGTTTGATAGCTTTGGGATTGTTTTTAAAATGTAATTTTAGGAGGTTGAAATGAAAAACCATTCCAATTATATGTTTTATCTATTATAATTGTGTTTTTGTTCAATCTAATTTGTGACATATTTTATGTCATCTGTGTTGTTTGTATCTAACTGTTATTGTCACTGCCTCGTGACTGTTTTGAAAACAGAGAACATTTTTCATCTCAGTGGTAATTTGAGTTAATAAAATTAAAGGTTTTCATCCAACAGCAGTGAACGCTCTCATTAAACATGTGATGTGGTCCAAGCAGGATGAGGACTACCATGGTATCGTCCAGTTTGCCGTGTCCCTCGTGGACTCCCAGCTGTTTGTCCACTACCTGGCCGTGGTGCTGCTGGAGCTCCGCCAGCTCCAGCCCTGCTACAGCGTGTGTGTCATCCGCTCCACAGACGGGGAAACACGTCACTACAACATAGGACAGCTCAGGTATAAATGCTCACTTGCTGTAATTACCTTGTCTATTATCATTCTATGTATGCATTTCCTGAAGAAACCGATGAGGATGTCAAATAAGCCTGTAATTTTACGTGTAAATATGACCTCTCTGTACAGTGCACACTGAGATACACACAGTGTCACTTGGTCAGTCTTTACACTCTACCATTGAAGTATGTGTGTAATTGGAGGCCCATGTCCACAGGGCAGACTGGCACAGGCAGTAATTGAGTTACTCATCAGTCTCCTCGTCTAGTTTGCTCAAGGCGGGTTATTCTAAGAATCTGGGGGGAGGGATGAGAAAGTGCCGGACACAGGCATTCATCCTATGGCTGTTTTCCTTTGTTTGTGCTCTGGATAAGCGTGTGAGAACAACAACATAAGGAAACAACAGCGGTAATTAGATAAGGTTTGTGTGATGCAGCTAAAAACATAATGGATTTATAATTGACTTATACTTGTCTTGTTCTTGCCGTGATTTAGAATGAAATTGCGCATAGTAAACAGGAAGTTAAGACCTGCACAGGAGGCAGAAACAGACTATACACATTGTATCAACAGCTTCCAATAATATAAAGGGGAACTGCACCTTTTTGTGGCTCTAGAGGGAAATGTGTGAACTCTGATAAATTGGGACTGAGGATTACAAGTTTGAAAAGGAAAAAAAAGCTGGGGGTGTGGAAGTAGAAAGAAGAGAGCTCACCACACCTCTGCAGCCCGCTCCTTATCTCCGCTTGAGGCTACATTCGCAGCTTCTGACATAATGCACCCAAAATCTCAGACCGAACTGTCAGCAGTCGAGTTGCATTGAGGATAATGTAGGTGCTAGGTTTTGAAGAATGTGTGGAATGAGAAAGACAATATCTCTGATTCTGCTGCATCCATTTTGATCCAATAAAAGAAGTGCAATAGAAGTGCAATGCAATATTTTACCTGAAGAAACGTTTTAATCACAAAGAAATTTTCATCAGGCTTTAACAGGCAACAAACAAAAGCAGATCAAAAGAATCAACAGAACCTTTTGCTTGTCTTAATCCTACTGTCTCTGAGTTTCCACTTTCTACCTCTGTCTCATCTTGCACAGCATTCAGAGGGCCGCTCTGTCCATTTTGGAGTATTACTACAGAGATTTTCCACTCCATAACCCAGCACTTCTCTCTGCCTCGAAGCACCGGGCTGCCAAACACCTGGCCGGGTTAAAGGTCTACAACGTGGACGGTTAGTCGCCGCATCTGTCCCTATAATTCCCTCCCATATTATGTAACGTTTCAGTTGATGTCCCTCTCAGTGCTTCACTGGTTCCCAGGGGCCAGTTTCACAGAGATGTTTTAAACTGGTTAAGTACGATCTCAGATTAGTCTAATGCAAGTTAGTTTCACAAAATAAAGACTGACTTGTGTTAAACCTAAACAATTAGCCACCTTATCCACAGGCTAACTCAGAACTAAGAGCTGTGTTTCCATAGTTACAATCAATGACACCTGTTAACCAGTGTTTCCAGGATAGCAATCAGTGACACCTGCTGACCAGTGGCACCCAGCAGCAAAAAAAGTTTTTAGACATCATTTTTTAGACATAATTTAGACACATAACTGAAGTCTGATTATTAGTTCGATCTAAGCCATAGTCAGGGCCTTTCTTTACTATGTCTTCCGCTCTCTTGTGATGTTTTTTTCCTCCATCTCCATCCTATCTGCAAGCAGCTTTTAAAAACAAACTGAGAACATACCTTTTGGACAGTAAGTACAGATAAAAGTCTTCAACATCACTCTGCACAGCACTTAATCACAGGAAGCTGCTAATTTCACGGTTCAGTTGACTCCCTCTTTACAGCACTCTAAAGCCTCTGTCCCTCACATAATGTATATATTGCATCTTCAGAAAGCACTCTACTGCACACACATACACCAACTGTGGCGCTACAATGCGCTTGATATATTGCCTCCCTGCACACATCCTGTACTGCCACATATTGCACCTTGTCCTGCAGTGAAAAGGCTCTTCCGCTCACCACCCCTCAATCCCCGACCTATAGAGTACAATGGATTTGATGATCTATGGCAGGGATGCAGTATGGGGATATGGTGTCCTTATAGCACCTCCCACCCACCCACCCCACCCCCTTCACTATCAAAGTGCAGCGGAAAGGCCTCTAGAGGGCTGTGGAATTTCAAGCCTTAAATAATTCATCAGAGTAACGCTCATTTCACACATACTCCCACATCTCTCCTTCCTCCCGCTCAGCTCCGTCTCCAGCTCTGCTCGCTCTTGCTCCCCCACCTCCCCCTCTTCCCATTTCATTTTTTCACTCACTTCAACCCCCTCCCACCCCCCCACCCCCTCTCTCATTCAGTCATTCACAGTCGCTTTTCTCATGGCATGAATATGTAGGCCAGGAAGTTAAAGATGCTAATGTTTACTCATATTTTCAGTGGAAAATATTTACAATGCGCCCTGTGCAAATTATCCAACATTCTTTCCACAGTATATACTTAGGTGGTTTTCATCCATGTTTTATTACTACACTCAATATCTCCATCTCACCTGCACACACACACACAAACATGCAGATTAGATTATTAATGATTTATATCCTTACCTGACCTGCAGCGTTTACTCTCTATAACCTCCCCCAAACTGTGCTGATCTTCATGAATATGGACCAGCTCTTACTCCCCTACAATGAAACCCCAGGAATTGTAATATACTGCTGTACAAGCTCCATTAGCTTTATGGGTTTGTCACACAAATCAGTAAATTCACAGATCAGACAAGAACTATGGCCTTTGAAGTGTAAAATGATGAATATCTAATCCACCCCACCCCCCTACACGCCCAGTGAAAAAGGTTTCTGTGGAAAAATGTGCATGCTTCCAGTGGAAATTACCTCTTTTCTCAGTGCTATAATTAACATTCTCTGTGACTGAGACACATGATCTGGCAGGATGCCCCAGATAAGTTACGAAGAATAGCACACAGAGTCCTTAAATCTTTCTCAAAAGTCTGTGGAGCACAAAATGGGGGAAATAGTGACCAAGTTGTTTGATTTACAGTTCTTCTACACCTCCAGTGATGTGTTAGATCTTAGCTGTCCTCCAATGTGACCTTTTCTTTCCATGCTTCAGATTGAGAAACAGCACATTAATCAGAGGCTGGTGGGGTCAGGGACCACTTCTTCCAGCTCAAACTGATATACCCAATTTGCCTCTGTCCTCTCCTTTCGGTGCAGCCCCAGGGAACGCGGCAGGGGCTCAGCCTGGTAATGGGAATCAGTCACGGGCGATGGTTACAGCTGCCGCCAAACGCAAAGACAGCGCCCACAATGAGCTGTACTACGAGGAGGCCGACTACGAGAGAAGAGTCCGCAAACGTAGAGCCAGGTGAGTCGCATGGAGGAAATTACAGCATGTCAAAGGGTGAATTATTGATCTATAGGCTCTTTCAGACATGCACCTCAGGAAATACTGTAAATAGGACTGCAATTTCACATGTCAGTCTATGTGTGAATAAGTTGCTTTCACATACAAGTTAGAACGACAGTCTTTCAAGCATTACTGTATTTCTTCCATCAGCTCGAGACAAGTGTGAATTAAATGCTGTCAGATTAACACAAAAGCTACAGCGGCATAATTATAAATACAATGAGAGACTGAATGCACTTTTTAGTTTGCCTCAAGAGCATTGTAAATTTATCATTTAATTATCATCTTTTATGCACAAAGCACATGAAATTGGTTTAATAATCCAGGAAATACTATAAATAACCCAATGTTTCTTGCTCGATGGTTCAGGTCAGAAGAACTGAAAAAAAAAAAAAAAACCCTTGTACAAAGATAATTTGACTTGCCTACAATTTTCATTTGTGCCCAACTGCATTAATTTAAAACTAAATATGCAGCAAAAAAGAGTTTCAGCTTAACATGATGCCATTCTATGTTTGTAACATATACAAAAAAGGCAGCAGAATTCACTGTCTAATATATGATTAAATTTATGACAATTCATTTAGTGATTTACAAGTGAGAAGCAGAGACAAATGTAGGAATATTTATGGACACCTATGTATGTATGATGAGAAGCCATTACTTTGACAGATGATGGGCAAAGCCATCTATATTATGTATCCCACGTCTGAAACGGGCAGTTGCGCTGGTACATGTGGTATGTGTCACTTATTGAACAGTATGGATTAAAAGCAGTAAGCTCGACAGCTGACAGTAAGCTCCTGCTTTGTCAGGCTTGTGGTGGCTGTAGAAGAGGCCTTCACTCATGTCCGGCGGATGAAGAAAGAGGATGAGCGTGCGGCCCCCTCTGACATTATGGATGTTCGTGAAGCTGCTCTGGCAATATTTCCCTCTATGGCACGTGCCCTGCAGAAGTACCTCCGCACAACCAGGAGGCAGCACTGCCACAGCATGGAGAGCATCCAGAAACACTTGGCTTTCTGCCTCGTCAATAACATGAGCCCAAAGGTCAGTTTGAATTTCGATACTTTAATACTGTCATAACTGAATTCTAATAAGAATGGATGAGTTGTAAATATTTTAAGCCACAAAACTCAGTGTTTATCGGACTTTACATTACATTATATTTGACAGACACTTTTATCCAAAGCCCCTGCTCTGATAGCATTCGGTAGCTTGTTCCACCATTTGGGAAACACAGACAAAAACAGTCTGGACTGCGATTGCCTTGTGTGCAGGGATGGCAATGCCAGCCGACATTCCTTGGAGGAACACAGGCTTAGACTTCATGAGAAGGAGCATAAGCCTGTGTGATTGAGTTCAAGTAGATTGGTGCAGACCCAGAAGTCACTCTGAAGGCAAATATTAGTTACTTGGATTTAATTCGGTCAGCCATGTGTAGCCAGTGTAGGTCAATGAGTAGCGGCCTTAGACCGGCCTTAATTTAGCTCATAGACCAGTCTAATGCAAGTAAGATTGTTTCACAAAAAAAATTTACACACCTTAACCCCCAGGCTAACTCAGGTCTAAGAATAATGTTACCATGGTAACAATCAGTGACACCTGTGCTGGCCAGTAGCACCCAACAACAAAATACAACAAAACATGGCTCATAATTTGTGGTTTGCTAACATTATTATGAAAAGAGCAATGCGAGGGGAAAGAGTTTTTAGAGACAGCAGTAACTGCCTCTCCTCTGCTCTCATCCAGACCGTCCAAAGATAGGGTCGCTAAGAAAAATAAACACCGACAGCACTACTTTATTCTGAAGGCCAAGTTGTAGCGTTTGTTGACATGTAACTTGCCGGTAGCTTGCACATAGGCTGTATCGTTAAATCGCTAGCAGCTAGCTACCGGCTCAACCGTTAGCATACCAAAACTACCATTACAAAGTAAAACTTTTTTCTTTTGACTGCTGTCATTCAAACAATCACTAGAGACATTTTTGGCCTAATGTTACCTGTGTTCTCTTGGCTGTCACTGGCCTCTGTCTGTCCCTCTCGGGAGGCTGCTGGTGGGCTGCTGTCAGCGCCAACGCTGGCCGATGTGGATGGGGAAGCCTCAGTGGCCGCTGTTGACCCCACATACTCCGCTCTCTCGTCCACCGTTTATCGCCCAAAACAGAGGCGACAGTGGGCCGTATATCTTTGGTACAATTTTTGAAATGTCTTTAAGCTTTTCTTGTGGTCTTCCTCCTGTATTTTCTTCTTTCAAACATTTATTTCTTTGAGGGAGATTGACACTGTTTGCAGTCGCTGCTATTTTAAACTTATTGTTACACTCTTCGCTTAATTTCCCAAGTAAAACGTCCATGTTGCTGTTGAATTCTTCCAGTAGACCAACATTTTCTGCTGAGGGTAAACAGAGCTGAGCGGTTGGATGCGTTGACTCGGTCGGCCATTTTATTTATTTTGAAAAAAAAGTTGATTTACCCAGAATTCATTGTACCACAGTCCGATTTAAGAGAGTCAAGACTTAAACTGCTTTGTGCAACGGATGAATTTATACCTCTGTTATATTAAAGCCATACTCAAGGTCTATCATTGTGAAACCAGCCTAGGGGGCTGGCAGGGAACACAATGACATTGCCACAACTAAGTCCAACAGGGCAACCAACATGAGTGCTTTGAGATCACACAAGCTGCATACAAGCCAACACTTTGATCTGATTATCCAAACTCCAAATACACAAAACATCTTAATACTGTGGTGTCTGTTTTCTTTTTTTTTTCTTGTTTTTGCAGCGCTGTTATCACAGTTCATAAGCTGTTGTCACCTCAGCAAAGAGTTCAGTTGACTTGGACGAGCACACCTGTTTTGAACTGTATTTAAACCACTTTATTTGAAGTTAAAATATGTAAATTAACCATAAAAATGTTGCTAATAATCCTTCATCACACAAAAAAAAATTGTGCACAACTGCAGCAGAATTGGCAGGTCAGAGTCAAACAGCTTGGTTGGTCTGTAATGGTTGTTAATTGTTGGTAATAATATGTCACCAGCCTGGGGGTTGACGGAAAAAAAGACTTTGAGTTGTCACATGCAGAAAGGTGAGAAAATTGTATATTCTAGATATTTTGAACACGCAGCACTCAGTGGTTTGAAGAACACACAAAAGGCTTGGATCTGGAGCTATTTTCGCCTGCAACACTCCTCAGGCAACATCAGCATCTGGCAACTTGTTTTTACCTCGTCTAACTGTTGCTTAGTGCTGTTGCCATATGCCCCAGATCTCAACAATTCACATGGTAATTAATGATGTGTTTTTGCAGTTAGGAGTGTTGACCAAAACTAAGCAAATAAGACCCACCCATGTTGTAATGAACTGGGAATATCTTGTAAACCATCCAATAGGTTTAAAACAAACACCTGAACATCACGCCACTGAAAACTGATTGTCTTGGTGAATATTGTAGAATCAATGACTGTTTCTGTTTGCTCAGGCCTTCCTCGAGGCCTACCTGGCCCCTGGTCCCACCCTGCAGTACGGCCCCGAGCGCTGGATGGCTGATCAGTGGACTTTGGTCAGCGAGGCTTCTGTCACCAATGGCGTAAAGGAGGGGTCAGAGTTCCTGCTGAGGTGTCTGGACTTTAGCTTAGCCGTTACCGTCAAGAGCATCCCTTACATCCGACTGACTGAGGAGTACATCGACCCCAAGTCGCATAAGTTTATACTGCTGCTTCAATCAGAAACCTCAGTTTAACAGACCCAGTGGACGAGTGCTGCTGATCTGGACTTGCAGGGCTGTTAGGATTATCTGACTGAATTTTTCACACAAAAAAAAGCTTTTTGTACTGTTTTTTGTACTTAAGTTTATGTTATTTTCTCACATAGAGTATCTTTGTGACCATGTCGTTGTCCCGGGAGACACGAAAGACAATAAAAGACAGAAAATAGGAGGGAATATGCTTGGATTTCTCTGTCCTGACATTTGCAGAACACAGTTCAGGTATTCCTCTATGCACCTCAGATGACCCTCACAGATGTTCCTCCTCCTTTATCTGCATGTGCCAGTGTGTGCCTGCATGGGAGAGATCATGATTTAGGAGAGTGTGATTTAGGATGCAAAAGTGTGTGTGTGTGTGTGTGTGTGTGTGTGTGTGTGTGTGTGTGTGTGTGTGTGTGTTTGTGTGTTTGTTTGTGTGTGTGTGTGTTGAAGTATAATATACACCCGGGGTCTGTCTTTCTCAGCTTGTCTCCCTCTTTCTCCTTAGCGTTACTATAGTGACCAGGACATTTGATATAAACTGAACCCTTTTAACCAAACTGCTCTTTTTCAGTCTTAGCAATGATTATTTAACTGTCCTGTATTACAGATGTATGTACAGTATTTATATGTGAATATACTGTAACCCTCCACACTTTTATATCAAAACTGTGCTTGGTTTGAATGATTTTTTTAACTTGTCTGTCTGTGCTGTATTTGTGGAGATAACTGGACTGTAAATAGCTGAGGACATGTGCGTAAATGTCAGACAAATCACTTGAGTATCTGGAAGTAAATGCCAAACACAATACAGCTGAATACAGACGGTCTAGCCAATAGATTGTGAAAGAACACATCTGACTAGTCATTATGTTTGCATCTGTACAGTTAAGTGCGTGCAGTGTACACTGATCTTTTTGTAGGCCAGTAGAGGCACTTAATGTTTGGATGGCTATGCGGTTCATGTGACTGAAATTTAACTGTAGCCTTTAGTTTCCAAACATATGCCCCTGATTTGGGTCTTAATTCACCATGAAGAGGGCGTATTATTACGGCACCTCTCTGCATACCATAGATCCAATCAGCCGAGTGAAATAGACTGAGCCATGAGGTTCTCAGCTGCATAAGACAATGCATTAAATATATAAATGTATAGTTAAATCCACATTTCAGGAGCTGTTTCAACAGATTAGACTTTCTCTCTGAAATACAATCCCTATCTAAAATGAATGGGCACTTAAATCATGCTGGGAAGTGTTTAAATAAGTGTTAGAAAACGAATAATTTAGTGTAAATTAGCTCAACCCAGTGTCAGTATTTCTGCTGTCAGTATTCTGTCTGTGGAAACCCAAGTGTCGCAGTACTGCCATCTATCTACCACTGCTGGAACAGGAGCTGCCCTGTGCATCTGTCAAACTGTTCATTTCTATGAATATTTGATCTGTATTTTTTAGATCTTCTGTATGTGCGAGGCATGTCATGTTGTAAATTTATATTTACACAAGTGTTACTGTGGTCACTGACGGTGTAGTTTTGTTTAGGACTGTTTAGGAGTGTTGATGGTTGTAAATACTTATTGACTACACATGTGCCTCAGTTATACATATTTAGGATCTGCTCAGCGTACATGTCAAGTTTTCAAGTGTGTGTGTGTGAGAGAGAGAGAGAGAGAAAGGAGAAAAGAGAAAGAAAGGGAATATAATGAAGAAAAGATATGTCCTGCAGCTGGCAAGTCATGAGTCTTAAGTTGTCCCTGTCTTCTTTTATACAACAGAAAATGTAAAATCACAGCAGCTGTGTCAAAGTCACATTTGTAAAAAAAAAAAATTAAATAAATATTTGTATTGACCTTTTCAATGTATTTGTTTGTATTTTTATGCAATTTGATTGATAAGCATGTCAACCCCAATATTTTATTAGAACAGCAAATGGTCAGTTTTTAGAAGTCTAGTCTGGTAGTTTCACTGTGAAAAACTAGCACTTAGCCTAACTACATTTCGCAGTGGCTTGATGATAATAGCTAATACTTGGATAGCTATATTGTAGCCACACGTGTCATTTTGCAGTTAGTCATATAGTTGATTTGGTATTATACTGATCATATAGAAACAGGAAATGTTTCATTCTCATTATAGATTTTTTCAGATTCATTTTGTATTTTTTATTCAACAGGAATGTGAGTTTTCTAAAATATTTTGTGTGTGAATGAATCAAATGAAGTAATCATGTTGGACAAGCAGTGGAGTGCAAATGAGATGGCATTAACAGTGAACAGAGCATTGATATTTATTGCGCTAGACTTTGTGTCATGCAGCCATCAGTGTTTGGCATAATGAATACAATTCACTTCACATTTGCACTTCATATTAAATAAAATATGTTTTTGATAATCTTATGATCAGTGTCTGTCTCTAACAGATATAGAGAAGATCACATTTGCAAACTAAATTCTTTCCAAAGCTGGAGTAATAAATGAAAATTGGGCCTAGTGCAGTTTTGTGTTGAGGATTATTCTGCTGCCTTTAACTTCCCAGTATGAAATACTGTGATACCTTTTCAAAGCAGTTAACCCAACTCTGAGTTAGTTGCAGGTCTGTGTGAGAGCAGATGTAAAACTTGCCGCCCACAAATGGATCAGAAAACCTCCCTTGTGATTGCAGATTGTGTTTTCTTTGACTGTGCGCAGAGAGAGACGAAGAGCAAACAATGAGTCACGCAGAGAACGAAGAAGAAACCAAGCAGAGTGCGAGCGCAGGAATGTAGAGAGGAAGAGAAACACGAGGAATTAGCATTCAAATGAGCTTTCTTGCTTCAATCCAATAGTGTGATGACAATATTATCTCCCTGTGCAGCTGCTGCTGTTAATTCAGGTGAGAAATAAACCTGATGAAGAAAGGCGAAGTAGTGAGAGATGAGAAGAGGAGATTACAGCTTTGCTATTGAAAATGGAGAGTGTCAGCATGTGGCTTTACAATGTCTACGCTGTAACACCCCTAGGCAGAAAATGTAACTTTACACCAAACATTACAGCTGAAGTCGTATTACCTGGAAGGAGGATGGAGAAGCACACATTTACCACCCTGTTTGGTTTATTGACAATGAGGGCAATGGGCCACAACTCATTTGATTGAACAGGTAAAACATTTTATAAGTGCGGCTGAGTGGTGGAAGAAGTACTCAGAAACTGTACTCATGAAATATGTATAAGTAAAAGTACAAATGTAAACTACATCTGTTTTCTTTGTTTCTTTGTTTCTTTGTTTGTTTGTGGGCCACAAGAAATATTGGAACCACTGATTCAGTTATTAACATTATATTGTATTTTGTATCTATATATTTAGTTTCATGTAAACTTTTAATCTGAAAAGTAACCAGGAAATAAATGTAGAGCATTACAAAGTGCAGTATTTCCTTCTGAAATGTAGTAGTACAAGTATGAAAATACTCAAATAAAGGACCTCAAATTTGTACAGTAAAAATACAGTATTTGAGTAAATATGCACTTTCCAACATTTTTTTGTTGTTTTTGGTATTAAAGTTTAATCCACTGGAGAAATTAAATGATGTCTCTAATTGAGGACTGATGCTTTCACAGTGCACTGGGTAAAAAGAAGAAATTGTTGACACTGACAAGGGTTTATTATGAACAGTCATTCATAGATGGATAAATGACTGTCTCATGATGTGAGGTGAATGTCTGGTCCAGACATTTAAGTATATATATAAATATTCATATATTTGTTTTATTTTTAATCCCAAACCCGTTCCAGGCTTATTTACACTGTCAGGTATATATTCAATACAAATTTGGAATTATTTCTAAGTGAAAAGTTACTTTACAGTTGTTTGAAGTTCACGTTCAACTCGGCCTGACGAATAAAGACTGAGGAGTCACAATTTATTATTCTCATGAATTACTCATCATCATCATCATCATCATCATCATCATCATCGTCGTCGTCATCGCTGTCATCATCATCATCTTCGCTGTCATCATCATCATCGTCATCGTCATCATCCTCCTCATCATTATCTTCATCGTCGTCGTCATCGTCATCATCGTCGTCGTCATCATCATCATCATCATCCTCGGTATTGACTTTGCCGGACAGCACATCTTCAATCCAGTCCTCCAGCTCCTGAGCACTGGGCAGATCCTCCTCGTCTTCCATCTCCATCCACACGCTGTCGGCCTGCTCACAAACACACAGCGGTCACACAGCGTCACGACAAACTCAGCACAACATGTCCAACAGGTTGTCATGGACTTACATCTGTTACATTGACTACTCCAATCTGTGGTCTGTACAGGTCCACCTTGAAGGTCTTCTCCCAGTAGGGGATCAGCTGAGGGTGAAAAATACAGATCACATTAGAGCTGCAGCTTGTGAGCTTTGGTTTAATGTTTCACTGCTTTCTTGTCTGCCTGCCTCTGCGCCTGTCTAAAGCCTGGAGGTGTCACGGCTCACCAAGGGAAAATCATCAGGGTCGATCCAGACGATGCTGAGGTCAGGAGTGTGGGTGTTGTCCCTGGCTACCTCCTTCAGGATCTCCAAGAACTCATAGCCATCTGGAAGAAACAGTGGCATTTTAGTGGCATTTTCTTATTTGAAATGTTTAAATGCTTTATTTGTCACATTTTTTATTGTCTATTATCTATTTCACTTTTATTTTACATATGCCATTAGCCTCCAGATGTTTTAGTGTTTATCTGAATAGTCTTCATAACAAACTCTTACCAGGATCTTCCTCCTCTGCAAAGGCCACAATGTGGATGCCCTCGATATCATCCTCCTGTGATAACAAAAGAAACATAAATGTCAGGTTGCTGTCACATGTTAAGGAAAACTTAAGTTAAAGTCATCACTAACCCAGGTCTCAAACATATCTTCTGCACGCAGTTTCCTCAGAGTTGGTCTGATGGTACAGAAAAGACAGTATTTGTTTTTACAATAAATCCTTTTTTTTAAAAGTGACACCGAAATTGGTAAAAACACATTTGAGTATTAGGTTGCTCTTTGTTTACCGTCTGTGTTCGGTTATGAATTCCACCAATTCCTCCTCAGAGTGAGGTTTGCCTGGGATGGTGACGGGCTCCTCCATGAAGGGTTCATAGAAATCCACCTCGTTCAGCTTCAGCGTCAGCTCCTTGGCCACCTGAAGCAGAAATGACAGCTCACCCAATAGTAATGATGTGTCTGTTGAATTGTTTGCGTGTTTGTTTGTTACTCACAGATTTCTCAAAAGTGGCAAAGAACTTAATGTAGGGCTGGAACTGCTCTGCAGCTTCTTTAAATGCTTCATAGTCTGAGAATAAAAGGGAACAGGGAGGGAAAAGGAGTTGTGTTATCTAATGTGCAACAGGGTTTTGTTGTGCTCCTATTTTCTTGATCACACATCTGTTTGTGTTTTCTTTGGCTGTTGTATACATGACATTTGCACATCAGGGAGCGGAAATAGCTGAACTTTGACCTCCACTTAATGCTCCCACAGTTGGTCAGATGGGATAAAGCTGCGGCTCATCACCACAAGTAAACTACTCTAGACTCAGTTCTCCCAACGCATGTGAGAAGGGACAAGGCAGTGGCAGCTGTGTGAGCAGCAGCGGTAAAAATGGATCCGTAAATCCATGGAGATGAGGGGTTAAAATGCGCTCATGTTATAATGAAGGGCATGAGCCACAGAAAGCCCATCACAGACCGGTCTAACAAGGTAGCGTGCTCTGTTCAGACAGCAAAAAAATATACACGTTTTACAAACATATCAGTTTGAGCCGACAGCCTCGCACACTCACGCTCAGAGTCTTCGTTCTTGAAGTAACCGATGAGGCGGATATCTTCCTCCATCCTGTCAAAGGCCCTCAGCTCCAGAGCATTTCCTATCACCTCTACTGGTTCCTCTAATAGCTAGAGACAGACAGAAAGAGGAGAGAGAAGTTCTAGGGTAAGCTTGTTACTCTGGCTAGACTGGTGTTGATCAGCGCTGGCAGCTGGGAATCTGCCCTTAAATCACTCTACTCACGTCCAACAAAAACTCCACCAGGGTGTTAGCAGAGAGCAGGCCGTCGAACTCGATCACCCGATCGGCCTTAAAAACATATACACTGCCTTCCTCTTCCAAACCTGTGATTGATGGAAATTGCATATCATTATTTACATTTAAAGTCAGCCCTTGACTAAATAACTGTTATTAATGGCAGTCCTCTTTCGAGACTTGCTAATCCAACACAAATAAATGAGGCTAAATTAAGGTTATGCTGCATTCAAATACTCACCCAGTTTCTTTGCCACCTTTGCATCTTTGTGGGAGTCCACCATTCCAAACCCAATGTCCTTCTCTTCCATAACCTGAGCTGCAAGCTGCAGCCAAAAGAAAAAGATGATTTGGGAGTAAGTGGTAAGAACAGGACAGAGCACAAAAGATGTAAAGAGACAAGACAGAAAGAAAATAATTCATTTTGGGTTTGAGGTTCAGTAAATTTTATCAGATATTAAACTCCCAGTTCAGTTAAACTGTTAACTGAAGCTGCTTTTGTGAAAAAAAAAGGAGGAGCTTGACTGCAGTGGTAAAAATTATTACCAAAGTTGGCAATCTGACAGAGGTGCCCAAGCTGTCCAGGGGCCATAAAAAAACAGTTACATAATCATCCAGACTGCCTTGTTCTAAATATAACCAAAGAGAACATATAATTATTCTGGCAGTTGTTCTGTGAAGTACAGTAGGTGAGCTGATTGAAATTTGGACTGTGCTGCCACAAATGATTCTCACACAAGTTTATGTTAGTGTGATTAATGTGCTGTCTTCAGCGCACGAGGAGAAGCTCAGTACCAGACAGTTAAAGGTACCCGGTGGGGTTTCTGATCACTAGTAGCGCCATGTGGCGAGGGTTTTACATGCGCATTCACGTTTTGTTTGTATCATGTATGTAGGTGATCACACGCTTGTGTGAACATGCACGCAGTGCCACCAGTTTTACGCTGTTCCACTGGTCTATGCGGGAATGTGCCAACAAATGTAGCTGTGGCATTGAAAAAGAAAAACTGTTAACAAGCAAACAGAGACGTAAACAATGCATGAATTATATATAATGTTCACAGGTCACATTAGTTTTCCACCAATGAACAATGAGAAAGTAAACAGACCTCGAACAGGTTGTAAGGCTGCAAAAAAAACCCTGCAAGTTGTAGATATTTTGGACATATGTTGTAAACTGTAACTACTCACTAACAGTCACTAATGTGCAATAGACTATTCTTTCTACATGGTTACTGCCCATGGGGGTGTCTGACTCTAGCATGGCCCACCTGTGCAGTGTAAAATAAGTAAAGCTAATATCAGAACTGCACGGCTGGGCTCAGATTACTTCAACAGATCAAAGAGCAACTCACCCTCAGCCACGTGTAACACGAGACAGGGCACACTTTTTCCTACTGTATGGGATTCATACAAAGAGATTCATTTAATCTATCAATTACGCATGTATCCTGCTGCTTAGCTGAGCTTGAATGCAAAATACCCTCAAGCTCTCTTATTTTGGGTTTGACAATTCCACAAAAAGCCACAGTAGAGCAGGAGGCAGCTGTGCCCTTCACATATATAGCTCAAAAACATAAAACAAATGAGCTCTTGGCCTATTTCTGCCAAAACAGTAGAGCCACAGGGAGAACTAGCATCATACATTTCTATGGGACTGTAGTACACATTGAATTAGGCTGAAATAACCTTAAGTGACAGCACTGTATCTCACTGGACAACAGTGCATTCATAGAGTGCACACACTTACACACTGACCTTGAGGAAACCTCTGCCACCAAACCAATTCTTTATGTATCCCTGCTCTTCTCTCTCTCTCTCTCTCTCTCTCTCTCTCTCTCTCTCTCTCTCTCTCTCTCTCTCCCGGTCCTTTAATCTGACCTGCACCTTTTCTCTACCTACTTCCTACCTTGTTTTCCTCTTCTTAATACTTTACCTCCAGCACCAGCTCAGTCATCTGGTGTTGTTTTTGTAGCTCCTTGCTGTCTGGTATGGGCTCATGGTAGAACAGGCAAAGCATGCTGTACTTCTTCAAGGCTTTCTTGTAATTCTTGTCATTGATGTCTAGGACACGGTCTTTCCCGTCATACTGTGGGAACTCCAGGCCCTTCTCAGCCGGCGCCAGAGGCACGAGGCTCAGGCAAGGGAGTAGGAACAACCACAGGGAGAGCATGGTCCAGAGCTACCACACACCCCCAAAAGTCAGAGAATGGTTTGGTTTAACAAAATAAAACTAGATAACCAGAAAGGTCACCTAAAAGCCTGTGAAAGAGGAGGGAAAAGTAGGAAATGCTGTAGAAAGTTTAAGATTGTAAAAAGTGGTCCTTGAGTGGCAGTTCTCAAGCATCCCAAGCTGTCCACCGAAATCCAGTTTCTAAAGCATCTTCAGGACCCAGCAACTCCTTCTCCCAATGTGACACTTTCTCTGTGCAGACACAAAGGCGAAAGAGGAGTACTGTCAGTCCGGTGAGGTACTGGGGTGGGGTGGGGGTGGATACCATACATAGCAGTGCTCCTCTCCCCCTGCCCGTGCAGGACAGGCCCATTTTTAGGAGACCAGTTGTTTGAATGCTAAAAATAACATGGCAAGTGAGAAAGAGAGATAGTAGAGGACAACAGTGGGGTTGTTTAATAGTATGTACTTTCTCCCATGTGATGTCTCTCTGAGGGAGTCAGGGATGTGGGATGAGAGAGTTGAGCTCCAATGATTTGGGGGTTCAAGTTATTTTGAGGTGAGGACCAAAAGTACAGCGGACGTGTGGTTTGGTGCATGAGAAGAAAATGGTGGAGATTTTTAAGCAACGGCTCAGGAGACAATCTGCCGACAGGTGTGCACAGGGCAACTTAAATAGTCTGCCTATAGTGGCTGTCCTGCAGATGTGGTCCTATTAATTTAGCATGTGCAATTTGCTATCTGACCATGTATAACAATGTTTGGCTTTTATTTGGGTGCGATTTGCAAAACCTTTGTCAGAATTTAATCTGCTTTATTTTTCAACAGCTTTACTCATTTAGCTCTTCACATACATTTACACACTGACTTAACTGACACTATCTTCCTCTTAAACTTTTTTGTTTAATAACCACATACATTCTGAACTACTGACAAACCAGCAGCAGCTGCACCTATTTTTACCTCCCTCTTTAGTCTTCTTGATCTCCACTCTTGCCTCAAGTACAATAGTTCTTTAGCTGCTTTAAATAGGGTCTCTGCTGCCCTCTGCAGGTAGAACCGCATACAAGCTGGTAAGTGACAACACCAGGCTTAAAACTGAATCCAGCCACTATTAATTCAGTCAGTGCTTTCCCTACTGTGACGAGTCAAAATATCTTCAGACAACATGTCATATAGCCAATAAACAACAACAGGCTACAATAGGTCACCTGCACAGGATAACCAAACTGTGACACCACCAATGCTGTGAGTGAGAATGCATGAAAACTAGTGAGGAGAGAAGTACAAATAAATGGATGGAAGTAAAAAGTAGTAGTAGTATAAATGTAAATGTGACCATTCTTACTGAAAATGAAGGAAAAAAAGAGTCTTTATATCAATTATACCCGAAACTTTATCTACTTTAGCAATAACTTTTACTTTTATAATCAATAATATATCAAATAACATGCAGTTTAAAATCAATTCAATGAACACGCTTGGAACATCTGACATAATTGTGAGGGAACAATATAAATATAAATAAAAATAAAAGGTTGGGGGCATCTTCCTAATTTATTACCGAGAGTAATGGATTAAGGATGAAGCTAAACCACAAATTAGATAATCAATTGGACTTTATTATTCTGTTGCAATAGAAAAGACATGCAGTATGTTGCCCTGCTGCTTCTGTAACTGATGATGATGATGATTTGCTGTGAGTTACGTATCTGTGTGCATTATTAAACTCCAAAGTTAGTTATAACCCCTCCCTGCTGTAACTGAGCAGTCCAGCCCTCCTCGATGTATTGGTGGTAGGGGTCATTCGAGTGCTCCCTCCTCTTGGATTTGACGGTGCTCACCAGGATGGCCACAATGATGAAGGCAAATAAGCCGATCATCACTGCCAGATACCAGATGACATCCCTGAAGTTCTCCTCAGCCAGTGTCTTGTCTAAAGCGTTGGCTGCAGCTGTCACGTTACGCCTCCAGTTGTCAAGATAGTGACCCAAAGCACTGGTCAGGGACCCCTCCAGATGAAGGGTCAGGTTGGACCAATCAGAGGCACTTATCTAGTTGGTGGGAAAACAGAGGATGATTTTCTTTTATTTTAAAAGTTTAAGACTATATACTTGTTTTTAAAGTACACTGAGTGTGTTGTATCCAAATTCTAATGGTACAACTAAACTAACTAACTAACTTCTTTTCCGCAGCTATACAAGAATAATAGATGAAAAAAAGTAGATATAAACAAAAGTAATAAAAGTAATTTCATCAAATACTCATAATAAAAATGGCAATTTTAAAGAAATAAGCCCATTAATATAGGTAAACAAATATGTAAACATTTTAAGGGGACAACTTCTCTACAGCATAAAACAGTCTTAACTAAATGGGCAATAATCACAGTTTAACTCACCCCACAACTGTTGCTAAATTATGATGGGTGCATAGAAACACAGTGATATCCCCTTTTTTTTAAGTAAATCCCACCCAATTCAAGTCAATGAGAAAAGCATATAAATAAAAACACAAGAAATTTGTCATATCAAATAAACAAAACTGTTCTAACTTTGGCAGAAAGTTTTTCACACTTTGTTTACAGTAAGAAAAGTTTTTAAGGGCCTTAGTAACCACAGCAACCACAGCTATAAAACCGGGTTATATTGGTCCAAATACAGAGAGAGAAGATGATTCAACTGTAAAAGAGGCCTGGTCATCAGAATTGTGACATGCAAGACATTAAAGCAACATGCAACAACAAAAACAACAAAATTGCCCACATTGATTTCATTACCATTAACTAACATTGCACCTTTCTGATTTAGTCTGTGTTTTTGTCCACCTACTTATCCTCATTCAAGCACAACTCTACAGCCAACCTTATGAATAACTACAGAAAAAGGGTTCAGCGGCCTCAAATCATATTACAGTTGAAGAAAATTGGGACAAACACTATGGTGTAGTTTCAGTTTTTACATACTGCACCAACCTTCTGCCAGGTTTTCGAGGACCACATGATGAAATTAGTCTGGAGATGAGTGAGAAAAGACCAAAATAAAGACGGCTGGTTAGAGGAAGCTGCAAAGTCATTAGCTCACTGCTTCACAGAAACGCAGTCAACCACTGCTCATATTTTGTTTACTTTTATAATCTTTTCTGCTTGGCTGAACGGTCGGTTTTCAGTGTGTGTGTATGTGTGAGAGAGAAAGATACTGCGGCATGACCTTCAAAATGTTGGGCGCACAAACTGCTGATATCTCCTCCAGTTGATAAAGAAAATGGAGTGCTGGAAGTCTTTATAGTCCAAACACACACACACACACACACACATACACAAACATGAATACATTAAGATCCAAATAACAGCAACAAATTCATGGCAGGAAATGGAATAATTAAAGATTGACCTGACAAAGTGCTTTACAGAGGCATGGAAATACATTAAAAAAAATAGAATATTAAGATGGCATTAAAATTGCATTTAAAAACAATAAAAAAACAAATTTGAATGAATAAAACTGTTTGAATAAGTCATATCAAAATTGCATACAATCATATCGGAGACTTAGGACACCATTTTAAAAGAAGTGCTGAAGCAAACAGTAACATTTTAAGCCCTGATTTAAATGAGCTGATCTCAGGTATTCAGGAAGCTTATTCCACAGGTGGGGAGAAGCTAAAAAGAAGCTAAAAGCTGCTTCACCTTGCTTGGTTCTGATTCTGGGAACACTGAGTAAACCTGTCCCAGATGACCTGAGGGGTCTGGATGTTTCATATCGTGCAAGTAGAGCGGAGATTTATTTGGTCCCAAGACCATTTAGTGCTGCATAGACATGTAGTAGGATTTTAAAATCTATCCTTTGGCAAACAGGAAGCCAGTGCAGTGATTTAAGGACCGGCGTGATATGCTCCACTTTCTAGTGGGCAGGTGTTTATTCACCTGTAATTCCTTATCTGCTCACACAGAGGGAGGACATTACAAGGGGGATTTCTGGTATCAGTCTATAGGGACTTTACTGTAGCTCTCACTAGATGGCAGTATAATGATACACATTTTCGGTCATGCACTTAATTTTTTTTCAGAGAAACACAGTGGGGTCGAAAAGAAAAGGGGGTCATAAAAGGGTCAAAAAGGTAAAAGTGTGCTATTTGGTTCCGTGAGGAATTGAAATGGGGTCTTCATTTAGGATAATGTAAGGTATCAGTTTCAGCACCCTGGAGTCATTGCAGAGCCATTGTCTTGCTCAAGGACACTTCAACGTGGTGTCTGTTTGCTGGAGGGATTGTTTGAAACCGGATCCTGTGTTTGAAGAGGCGGCATCTCTCCCCCTCAGAGCCACACTGCTGGAGTGGATGACTCCCACCATCAAGATCATTTATGTTTTGCTATGCAGTGCCAGCGGGTGGACGCTGCGCTGACTTTTTTTTTTTCACTGTAAAGTGAAACAAGAGAAAAATGGAACAGTAAGTACAAAGAGCACAAACACAAAGAGACAGATGCACACACGGAGAGAAAACTGGAGCTGAGAAAAGTGACCAGTAAACTGGTAGAATTCCACAGCCTCAGAGGAAAGACACAGATGACAGAAGTAGACAATAACACCTTGACTCTAATCTGATTCAAATTATATGCAAAATTTCTTTCAAACTGTAGAAACTGTTCTATGTGAATATATACAGAGGGGTCCAAAAGTCTGAGACCACTTTCTGATTTGGACCCCTCTATATATTGTAAAATAAAGAAGGGAATTCTATCTACATTGCAAATACAGGGCTCTCCTCATGCAAAATCTACGAATTGGTGTCTTATGCAAATGGAATTTCCATGTGCAAATATTGCAAAGGGAGATTTTGCATATTAAAATAAGGAATAGTCAAAGTGTATAACAGCATCTTCCATTGACCCTGGATTTTTGTTGCCTTTGTTTGTCTTGGTCTCTGGCCAGTTATCAGCATCTGCACATCTTAATAATATGGCATCTCAGTAATCTGATGTTTCATAATCAAACATTTCTTTAAAACATCAGGACTTTGTCTGTTGGCTCAGTGTGATGAAAGTATGTTACAACACAATGTGTGTTGAAATGAACTGACAGCAGGGGACCAGAACATCTGATGCTTTTCATAATAAAGGGAGGGACATTGCATCAACCCGAAACAGCTTTGCTATGTTTCCATCATTTCTATCGTTAATGAAGTAAAATAATATAGTAAGGTAGAGCAGACAACACTTTTGTTATGTGGCAAAAGCAGAAATACCCTGGTACAGAATGCACATGATGTATGTGAAAGTACTCATTGTGTAGTAAAATGGCTTGTGTCAGTGTTTTATGATTAGAACTTCAATTCAATTTTGGGTGACATGATGGCTGAGTGGTCAGGGTGCATTAACTCCCAGCTGACTCCTGGCTGGCCGGACGTTTTGCTGTATGTCATTCCCCTACTCTCTTTCCCAACATTTTCTGTCTGTCTTCATTGTCCCAATAAATTCAATAGATTTGATAAATTGAACACAATTTTATTTATTTAATTCCATTCAAGTTAAAGAGGCTACTTGTAAGTTTACTCTGTCACTGAACATTGTTTCATGCCAGGAGCAGGTGGTGGTGATAGTCACTTGCCAAGAGCTTCCGCCATCATTAAGTTTACGATACAAGAGGTTATAAAGTCTCCCCTGAGCAGCACCACTTCTTCAGGGCAGACTGGACACTACAGCGACTGGCTATTGGAAAGTGACTGAATTAATTTCAAAATAATTGAACTCAATTTGTATTTAATTTATTTTAATTTTTCATATATTATATGATTCTGGACAGATGTGGATGTAAACTTCAACTTGACTGGTTCCATAATATGAACTCAAGTGTAGCATTAGTAAACCCACAACCACTAGTGGGCAGTAAAGTCAAAAGGAGCATTCATACCCAGTATAAGAAACATGTGGGCAAGTCTCTATTTGTTATTATTATCATCATTTTAGTTGACAGCTATGTACTCTAATCAGTATTTCAGTTCTGCACATATTTTGTTTTTATTTACTTTGATTGATTTAACCCTCAAGATTGAATTTGATGGATGAACAGTACATTATGATTTGATCTATTGATGATATATTGCCTTGCAGTATTTTCAGTTCAATCGGTGTTAGATTTTACTTTCCTTTTATTAATCATTTGTTGGGGGCACTTTTTTCTCTCCTTCATTTTTTTCCTCATGTTTTGTTTTAAGGCAAAAGGAGGAATAGAACTGCCAGTCTGATTTAAAAGATTTTTTTAATGACTGACTTGACTTAATGTACTTTATAATCACATTGAAAAGACAGCATGGCCCAGATGGTTCTTCAACATTGGATTTGGAAATGGTTTATAAAGACTGGACGGTGGTGGTGGTTCTGGTGTGGGTGTGGCTCAAGGGGCCCACTTGGGAAAATGTTTTCAGCCTATAATTCCTAATAGCTAATTAGCCAATTATTCTGAAGCATTTTGCAAACAGCTGATGCCAATCAGCCATTACAAGCACGACTTTAGTGTTCTGCCTGAATTAACGTAATGCTTCGTATGATGCAAGTGCAGCTTCACCAGGTTGTAAACAAGCTAAGGACAACAAAGTGATGACTGAAATAACCTGAGGCCATCGGAAATCATCACAAGCCTGGATCAAGCATCAAGGGTCAGAGACGGACCAGAACAGCAACAGAAACCCCAAGGCAAGGCTGACATATGCAAAAGAGGGGGCAATACCACGGGAGGCAGTGAACCATAAAACCCATGCTCAAATGTTATGTAAAACCTGACATGTAAATTCCCACACACACATACACATACACACAGACTCAGACACCATATACCATAATATACTGCCTATTTATGCATACATAGGCAGGAACACACTATACAAAGCATATTCTGTTACTTAACATGTTAGTGCTTGTCTGGATATATGTGTGTTTGTGGCACACTGAGGTCATGCCATGAATAAAGTGTTAACATACTGTAAATCAGTGTTCTGTGAGTCACAGGAGTCAGCCTACATCATTATATAGATAAATATAATCACAACGTTTTGGTTGGCCACAATAGTTATCTGGCCATAAATCCAGAAATACCTGTCCATGTGACAAACAACTTCAGCTTCAACGGTACATGCTATACACAAATGATTACTACTTTTCAATTCAATACAGTATTTCATGTAGTAACTTGATTGTGATGGGAGTAATCCTCCATATCTCCACTTTGTTTTCTTTGTCCTTGAGTGACAGTAAGGCAGTACTTTTCCACACATGCAAATGAGGCTTCTTGCCTGCGTTACCACTCCCTACTCCTAGTGAAGATGATGATCACTCCTTTTATCTCACTGAGGTTCTGACCTAACGCTTTAAGTCTGACCTTGAAGCCTGACCTAACAAGGGCAGCAATAAATGCAGATTGGTATTAAGCTGAAATATAAAGTCACACTATCTTCGTCAAGTCACAGTCTAAGTTGCATAACTGTTGCTTGGCAATGCAGCTCTAAGACAAGATTCATTTGCCATGTCTGTCTGGCATTGAAAAACTTGGAATAATCTGTTATGCAGGTTCAAAACAGAGATTACAAAAGAGTTAATCAGCGCTCATTGTGATACCTCAAACTTTTTAAAGAGGCCATTTTGTAAGTGGCCACAGCAACAGAGCTAAATCAAAACCTACATCATGGTTTGACTACAATTTCAAACAAACCACTTCTTGGCATTTGTAGTACCAGTTGTTTATTGATTTTAGTTAGCTGTAAGTTTTTTTCCATGCTCCGCCTCCTTAAATTCCTTCACCCATGCAAAAAGCACAAAACATGGTCTGCAAGCCAAGTGCATGATAGCTGGGTCCTAAAGATCTTTTGTTTTCTTAACAGACAATTACATTAGCTTTTAACCGGTCAGACAGGTCACACTAGCCTTCATCTGTCATTGAGTTGTTATAGCTATGTATAGAGTGTGAAATGGTTAGACATGGGTGCACTCAGTACAAGTATTAACAAAAAACCAATATGGTTGACAGCAATTCAGTAGAGTGTTAAATTACAAATAACTTTGTTGATTCAAATCAGTTGGTTTAGATCAATTCGAGTTCCGTCAGGAGCACTGGGCCATTTTTTCCGGTGGCCTGAGGGTCGTTTTGGCACCGTAAACTGACAACTTGACCAGCCACTGGAATGAATTGAGGGGCCACTCTGAATCGATGCATCAGACACATGGATGTATCCATGATCAGATACACCGTCAACCTACTTCTCCACCAGTAACATTTTAGACATGTCGCCTGGTGAAATGGATGGTGAGAAAAAAAGGAAAGGTGAAGCAGAGAACAGGAGATTAAAAAAGAGAAACAAGTAACAATCAATTTGTAATGATTACTGGTAAGTAGACAATATTTTGATCTGGATCTTCACCAGGTCAAATATATTGTCATTATTGACCTTACGAAGGCCATCATGCCACTATCATGGTAACACTACTATTTATCATTCATCAGCAAAATGCCATAATTCTATATTACAAGCCCTCTCCCAGAAAAATACATCTCCCTGGAAAGTGCAAAACATAGCGGAAGGTGAATGAAGTTCAGGCACTGTAGGGGATACCTAAGGGCACTAGAAGGCTTGAAACATTACATGCTCAACTTTGAACCTCAGCCATCACTGTTTCCCTCTTTCTTGTCTTAAATTTCTCCACCCTAACCTATTTTCCGAACGATGTGGCAGTGAGTTCATAGTCCTCTTATCTTATCACAGACACATGTAAGAAGAGTGATAAGGATTGTTTTTGACAACTTACATTATGACTTACAAGAATGAGTCCTGTTGCTGAGGTTAGCTTCTTTACATGTAAACTAACCTTCTATTTTTTCTGCATCATATCAATAACTTGCTGTTTCCAAATCAGCAAACTCTTTATCAGCAGTTTATACTTGACACTCCAGCCGCCATGCTGTTGATTTGTCACTGAATCACTCATCAAGAATGTTGTTGTCAATGGTCAGTTTGACCCAGTAAGATGGGAAAAGGCGTCACTGGTGTATGCCTCATTGATTCACATTCATCATGTCGCGGCCCTAGACACTACTCTCCCTGCTGTTATTACTAAAGGAGGTAAATATTTCTTTTTGCCATTGAAGGCCTATTCAATAGATTAATGCCAGAATACCTGGCATGCCGCCATAGTTTAGTCGGGGCTGTGAATGGGGAATGACAGGAATGCATTGACTATGTGTTTGCTGTATATTTGAAAGGTCACATCACATTCCCTACATGGCTGCTTTCGTTGCCACCCCAATAAGAATGAATAACAGTGATGTTTTTAAAGTTTCAGAATGGATGAACACCCAGCGGCCCCAAGGCTGGGCTCAGAAAATCCCAAAAAGTCATTGAACATGAAAACAAACAAAAAAGCAGATATCGAAAAGAGATTTTTATGTGTAATATGTATTTTTCTACAACACACTAATAACAGAAACAGCTAGCTCATCATAAATCAAATGCATCACTTATAATATACAATATACAATATACAATATACAAAACCAAACATTAAATTTTCATTCATACATCCATGCATACATCAATATTCACTGATCACTCTAATCTAATGAGTTTCCTATAGATGCAAAGTGCTGAGGTGATGGAAAGACATTCTCTGTACTTCCTTTACAGGTGTGAGATCTGCATGGGAATGAAAAGCTATGCAGGTGCAAGTATGCAAGTATGCTGATCATTGATTGTGATTGAATTAATGCAATCTGTTTACTTTTCATGGTTTCACATCACAGGAAGAATGGTAGAACATTACTTGTTTCAAAATAGCTGCATGCCATGCCAAACCCTGAAAAATACAAACCCTGATATCAACAGCATAGTTAGCAGAATTAAACTGTATTAGCAATGGTTTTCAAATCAAATCTGCGCATCATATACCAGACCCCAATACCGGATGGAATTGATTAGGTGGGCTGCACCACCAGCCTACAAGTTGCACCCAGGCAGCAGCAAAGGATTTGAAGAAGTAACATCCTAATTTCTTGGAAATACCCACAGCCAAAAAAGGGTGTGTTTAAGAACAGCCTCTGTAGCATTAAGGTGCAACTAGAGCCAAAAGTCTCCAAGAGAACAAAGAAAGTTATGGGCGTTAAGAAGCTTAACGGACTGTGTTGACAGTTAGAACTGTTGGCATGTTTTGTGGTTTTATTGTTTGTTAAACTGAAAGAAAACAATAATAAGACTGTGTTCCAAATAAAGTTATACCTACAACAGGCTGTACCTCACCTCTGTACATCCCCTATGGTACCGTACCAAAAAGAGTTACAGCACAGTATCTGTGGTATTGTACCATAGATTTACCACAAACTACAGTACATTTTCTAAGGTAACTAACCTGTGGTACAGTAACACAGAGCCTGTTATCCTGTGATAAATGTCCCCAAATATCGCACAGAAATTTACCACATAAGCACATGGTACAGTACCACAGGATTTATAATACAAATCCAAAGAATGTATGGTACAACACAACCAAAGCCTGAGGCCCAATCCTGTGGTAAATGTTACAAAATACTAAACAAGTCTCTATGTACCACAGGAATCTTCCAGAGGAGCATGTGGTACAGTACCACAGGGTCATAAGGGACTAGTACCACAGACATTTCATGTTTCGTAAGGGAACCAAACACCGCTAAGTAATGTTAGAGCTAATAGTTATCTGTATCTTTTCTTTCTTTATACTGGGCATTTAGCTGCTAGTATCCCTGCTAGGTCTCATAAGTTGCAAGGCAGGCTTAAAAAAACATTTATCAACCTGTTTTTGAAGGACTGACCAAATTTAAAGGTGCTATATGTATGTTTTTGCTATCGCAACATGGCCAACGTTAGCATTAACAGCTGTTTACTTACCAGTCTAAAAAAAATGTTGAAGCATGCTCAGCATCAAACTTCATGTCTTGTTTCTGACTTTGGTAAGCAACAACAATTTTATCTCTTGTTTTGATTCTATTTGTATCACTTATTGTCTTCTACTGAAGCTAGCATGATAACCAGCACTGCTTAAGGGGTGTATACTAACCTCTGGCCTAGCAACAATTATGGCCACCACCACCGGGTCCTGGCAACAAACCACGTTTGGCAGCAGACCAACTTAACCCCAATCACAGCCCTAAGGGTTATCTTAACCATCCATCTAACCTGAACCATTTGATTACTAGAGCTTGTTGGTAGCAGTAGACAGCAGCTCAGGAAGTACTACCTCAGAGGATCTGCTCAGGGCATTCATAACCTTCTATGTATTTCATACCCCCTATCAAAAGATATCCATTTTGAAAGATCCCAAACAGTGATAATAAGAAGACAAAATATAGGCAGATGGCTGGGGCACTGCAAACACTTACAGTCTACCAACAGGATGTGAATGAAGACCAACTAAATTATGTTTGCTTTATGGTGTTTCATTTTGGTAAGTCCTGCTTAATATGTCTTTAGGCAAAGGAATAGTATCTTTTCCTCCACAGAGTTCAACTGACACTGGTGTGTTGTGCTATAGAGAAGGCTGTATGAAGGCTGTAAGAAATGCAACATTTACATTTGTGAATACGACTTAAGCAGTGTTTACATTTGGGCTGAATTTGCAAGCCTGCATAAAACCTAACTATTCAATATTCAATAATATTCATATAAAATTACTATATTTTTTATGTATGTTACGCATAGCTATTGACAGATTGCAATGCATGCAGCCTAATTCATCATATCTAATAAAATCATCATTCCAAAGCTGTGAAGCCAGTTGGAGTATTTGTTTCACTATTGTTTGACTATTGTTCATGTTTTCACTGTCCAAAATAGACAATGAACAAAACGTGGCCTGGATGCCAGTACTTTTCCACAAGGACAATATCATTAGTTTCCTCATGGGGAAAAAGCGAGGGCACGAGTCGACTGGGGGTTGGTGGAGGAGTAAGCAAAATGTGTGAGAGTTGAAATGGTGCATGACAAAGAAAATTCCAACTAATTTGAATTACTTAGTCAAGTTGTCAAATTTCTGGTGTTGCAATGTTCTGAAATACACCACAATTCAAAAAAGTTGTTTCTCAGGTTTTTTTTTCTCACACAACATAAATAATGAGTACACATTTGTCTTTTTGTCTCAATGGAAGTTTTATTTTCAGTGTCTAAAAATAAAATACATAAAAATAACTCTCAGAAAGAAATACAAGATTTTAAAGCTCTTTCCCATACAGCAATCACCACTTATCAATCCTTTATATCTTATGCATCATTTATGCCTGACATTGATAAGGATTGGCCTGTCACATTATGACATTGACTTTTTGCACTGAGGTCATTCAACACTGCTCCCAAATTATAAAATACAACAAACACATTTTTTCTTTTTTTTTTTCTTTTTTAATTTCTGTGTTGGGTTGTGTTCATATCTGGGCACCTTACATTGTGGAAGTAAAGAGCACAATTCAGAAGGCCAGTAATTTTGTATACCTGGTTGAATTACCCTTGATAATGTCATGTGTAAACTCATCCAGCGATGTTCTAATCCTGTAACAAACGTCTGAAATGTCATTTACGCTTTACATTATATCATTCTCTGCTGATATGCAGCTAATTCAAAAGGGAAATGCAGAAAAACTTTCAGGACATAAAACTTAACACTTTATTTTTTTGTTTCTTTGACTTTTTTGTGTTTTTTTCACTTTAGCATTGCACGCTAAGACATTTGGTAGGTGGTGTATAAAAGATACACATGAAACAAGATTAAATGACATTTCAGCACTGCAGTGCACTAAAGGTACATTGACGCACAGTGGATACACAAGAGATAGCCTAATATAGAAGAAATGTATACTGTCTGTGATCCAGTGAGCCTTGTATTACATTGTACACAATGTTAACATAATGCAACAGACTCCACACACTTTTCAACAATGTAACAATGAAACATAAAACCAGAGATGCATAAAATGTAAATTGATACAGAATTATGAGTATTGTACTTGTGGTGTTTTGTTATGGTAGTGTGTAATAGTGTAGTGCATAAAAAGCTGCATGTTGGTAATACAATAACAGAAAACGGACACAAAAAAAAACAGTTGTAGAAAATGCAATATTTAAGCCATTAAAAAAAACAGTACAGCTCCAGATGTTACATAACAGCCAATCAAAACAAATACGTACCACACAATATTAAGTTTGGCTATTTTTTCTCTTCCAATGAAAAACAAAAAATCTTAAAAGAGGATCATTTCTAATATTGTGCTTCTTCTCTCTTTTTTCTGTGCCATGAAATATGTACATATTCTAAATACCTTGTATTAACTGCAAGCTTGGCAAAATGATTTTTTATGCAATACCTCCAGTAGGCTAAATGAAACCAGTGGATATAATTATCACCATAAACTTAATGGTCATATGCAACAGCAGCAGAGAAGCAATGCTTCTTAGCATTTAATATTAATTCTTGTTTTATAAATGTCATAATGATCCCCCTCATAAGAGATAAGCTTGGATATCATATTCTCTACAGCAAAACGTTTGGACAATTATCAGGTGACAACCCTGAAAGGACTGTCCAGGGAATAATAATTAAATTGTAATAACATACTTGAAATTCTACCAATATTAATGTAGTAATAGTGTTCAGAGGCAGAAACACGTAAAAAAAAAAAAAAAAAAAAAAAAAAAAAAAGGGCAATAACCTAAAATAGTTTTTACAGACATATGTATGCTACAACAGCAACTAAACCTACACTCACTGTCAACAAGAGTGGAAAAAAAGCTTCTATCACAGAATACATGTTTTTTTCACCATACAAAAAAAAAAAGAAAGACATGTGCATATGTCAAATAAGGCAAATATTAAATTCGCTTAGAGTACTACAATTCTAAAAATCCCAGTAGATATTCTGAATGAAGGATTAACAACAAGAATTGTACAAAATGGACACACCATTGCCAGATAGGCTTCATAGTCATAAAGGAGTATTGTTTTTTCACATGAAGAAGCTTTAATCATTTTTTAAAAATGATTAGAATAAGCTTAGATCCCTGTTAGATAGCTACAAAAGACAACTGTAAATATTACAGACAAAGCGTCTCAAATCTCTGAAAATTCAACAGTTTGAGCCCCACATACCTTCCACCTTCATAAAAGACCCCATTAGTTCGGTGCAGGAATCAACTACAGTGAAAAATAAACAAACAGGAAGATGCCCACAGAGCAGACGCATAACAGACCCAAGTTCAGGAGAAGTTTAACTCTAGGTGGCTCGTACAACATCTCTGCAATGACTCCTGCATCGTCCTGCACCACTTTTTGCTGTGCACTCTGTGCTCCGTCCTTATATCCACAAAACCAGTTCCGTAAACACATGCACCTGCTACTCTCCCCATTCCCATTGCAGCCTTCCTCCGCTCTGATCATCTCCATCCTTCTATCACCAAATTGTTCTGCAGGGGTGGTTGCAGGGGATGTTTCTGTACTAGGGGTTGCTGGGTCATGTTCAGTGGATGGGACCAGGAGTTTGACATCCGCCCCATCCAAACACCTCTCCTTTCTGACATCTGTTGGCATTTCTTTACGTAGGCTTGCCTCACCATTACAATTCTTGTCAGACAGCCTGTACATTTCCTTTCGGTCCTTTGCGGGAACAATTTCAATGTTGCGGAGCCCCCAGATTGTGGTGGTGCAAACCTGCTCCTTATCTGGCGGAGAGGTGCAGAGGCTGACCACCACTGCCACCAGCCCTGAAATCCAGAACAGCCCAGCAGCAAAATACATGTAATGAACATGAATTATGAAGGCAGGCCTATTATCTGGCTGGTCACAGAGAGGCTGGCGGTAGATAAAAGCTAAGATCAGTCGTATGGTACCTAGTATGAAACCTGTCATGCCTCCGCAGAATGCACCCTTCTCATTACACCGTGTCCAGAACACACCTAGCAGGAAGAGGGCGGCGACTGGTGGAGTGAGGTAGCCAGCAACTTCCTGGATGTACAGGTATGTTTGTCCACCTTGCATTTCAATGATAACAGGGACCCAAGCAATGCTGATGACCACCATGAGTACAACAAACAAGCGGCCCACAATTAGCAGCTCACGCTGTGATGCCTTCCTCCTAAAAGTTTGGTAGATGTCCAGGGTGAAGATGGTGCTTGCACTGTTGAAGATTGAGTCAAGATCACTCATCAGGGCAGCAATCATGACCGCCATCATCAGACCCCTGAGTCCCACAGGCATCACAGCCATGACCAGACGAGGGTAGGCAATGTTTGAGCAACCAGCGTGAGAGCCACACACAGCCATGCAGTGCTCTGGCCCAATGCAGGCGATCTCATCCGCAAACAAGATGCGAGAGATCATTCCTGGAATGACTATGACAAACATGGGCAGGATCTTGAGAAATCCAGCCATGAGTGTCGAGCCCTTAGCATGAGCAATGTTCTTTGCTGCTAGTACTCTCTGAACAATGACCTGGTCTGCACACCAGTACCAAATAGATGCAGGAGTCTGGCCAAGAATGAAACCTGGCCAAGGGATGTCTTCATCCAGAGGACCGTGAAGGATGCGTAGTGAGTTTGGTTTAGGCTCAATACGACAGGAAGGAGAATAGGTGAAATTTCCAGTTGCCATTATAGCAGAAACATTGGGAATTGCTTGCATGTACTTTGTTCTGACACCCTCTAGCCCACCGACTTTGACTAGGCTGATGATGGTTAAGGTTAGGGCTCCACCGATCATCAACACTGCCTGAAGGGCATCCGTATACAGAACTGCCACCAGTCCACCGGTGACAGTGAGCAGTGCAGTCATACTGATAAGCAGGACAATGGACAGATAAAGGTTCCACCCAAGGGACTCCTGAATAAAGAGAGCTCCAGCATACAAGTCCACAGATAGCCTGGTAAAAATGTAAAGTAACACAGACAAAAAAGCAAAGTAAACCTTTAGCCTGTCGCCACCATAGCGTTTCGACAGGTACGCAGGCATGGTGTAGACTCCTGAGTGGATATACACAGGGATAAACACCCAGCCAAGCAGCTGCAGAAGTAGAAGTGCATTAAATTCCCATGCTCCAACAGCAAAGCCACTTGCTGCTCCTGATCCAGCCAGGCCTATGAAATGTTCACTGCCAATGTTACTCACGAAGAGTGATGCACCTATCACTATCCACGTCATGGAGCGTCCAGCCAGGAAGTAGTCACTCACAGTGCTGCGATTGGCTTTCCACATGGCAAAAAACCCGATGACTAGCACCAAGACAAAATACAGTGCTACCACAGCTATGTCTGCTGCTTCCATTCCAGGACCCATTTTTACAGATTACTTTTTTAAAAATCTGTCTTTGAAGCTCACAGCTACAGGAATCCTTCCAAAAAAAGGGAATATAAATAGTCAAAGTTATGGATTTAATTAATAAAAATGGAGCAATGGAAATGCTCTGCTTTGGTTTGCTGTCTGGATGGAAGCTGTAGTATCCACTGCCAGTTCAAATTCACTATAGGTGTGCTTCGGAGGGGGTTATCCACCGGCACTAAGGTCGTTCTACATTTAGAGGAGGATGTTGTAGGCTTCTGGTCTAGAAAACCCTAGAGTTAACATTCCTGCAAGACAGCAAAGACAAAGAAAAACACCTCATTAGAGCTTTAAATTTGAGAGGGAAAAACAGCGAACACAAATGCTTTTAAGTTTACGTTGACATAAAATTATCAAAATCACTAATAAAAGACATCGAGTAATATGGCATATGACTCTATAAACCACACGAAGATTAATAAGATTGTTGATTTTAATATATTCAGTTTTGCAACTGCAGTATTTTTCAAATGTCTGTCATTGGGTTTAGCCTGACTTTACTCCTGAATCTTTTTAACACAAAGGACTCAAGACGTGCCACTATAAAAACATCAAAGAAAGCTTAATAACATTATATAAGAAAGTCAAGAAGTAATGTGTAGCCAAAAACTATGTACTTTCTACATTGCCTAATAATTGTCCAGACTTGTTTCATTTTGAAAATTTTGCACAATTCCAAACATGCCTGCATAGTCTCAAGCATTTCTGGAAAATGCTAAAGGCAGTCATTCTGTGCTGGCATAAAATTGTGACGTTCCATTTCATGGTTTTGTCCATGAATGAATAAAGAGTACAGGATGCACAAGCCAATAGAACATTACCTGTTCACTCACAATATTATAATACTCCATACACACACCTAATTCAGTTACACTAACACATCTAAACCCTTGTCTAGAATTGAAAACACCAACTTACATTTAGTTGTATTCTACGGTATAAACTGAACATGTTCTGAACAAATTGATACTTAAAGGTAATAGTGAGATAAATCACATTAAATCCCTGTCAGCAAATAATAATATGCATGGTGATGTATGAGCACATCTGTGTCAATGACACACTCAAGCACACACTCTTGGATGTCTGGCCTCTCTTGAGGTTACAGCCTGTCATGCATGTTTGAAAATAACCCCGCGCCTTCCATCTTCACAATCAGGCATTATGCATCTTTCTCTATAAAAGAAGTCTTTGTTTTCATTTTATCATCTCACCATCCATGTCTCCATGTGCTCCCCATAAAGTGGTCAAGAGTCCCTGGCTCTGAAATACAGTAATGTTATTCAATAGATTAATATAATTTTATTTGAAAAGTGATATGTGGGATTTAAACATAATCACTTCCATCCCAATATGCCAGAAACTACTTGTAGACCCTTCACCAAGACTGCTGCCAAAATAATATGGTGATGCCATTGCCACAGGGACACCAACATTAGCCCAAGCTGATTCATATATTTGCCTCAACCAAAAACAGCAGGTGTAATTCATTTATTCTTCCCATCCCTGCAACAGAAGCCAATAATTAACTTCCACCAGTGGTGATGAAACTGGAGCTCTGATATAAGAAGTGTGAGAGTCTGCCCAGAGTATTCAAAAGCCAAGAGATGCCAAGAGGAAACAGCACTGACATGCATGAAGCACATGGAAGCACCTTAAATAACCCTTTAGATATAACAAAGTAAAGTACCAATTGCCAAAAACAATAAAAGCCAAACTTATGTTACAGCTGAGAGGAAATGCAGATGAGTGGTGCTCTTGCACAGGTCCACACAGCTTAAAATGTGAAAGACTTAAAAGCTGTTTCAATAAAGAACATAACATGAAATCCAGGCTGAATTCAGCTGCATGTGAGACAAGCTGACGCCACCATGGAGCAGTGGCATAATGGAGAGATGGTGTACAGAACAATGCCACTTTAATTGGTGGGCAGATGTATCCGACAGCTTGAGACTGCCTTTGTGAATACAAAGAGGCGACACCAGTCCACGGCCAGGCTTGTACTGCACATATGCACCTATCAGGCTGTAGGAAATTTCTAGAACAGTCCTTCATTCATCCGACTGCGAAGGATGCGCATCCCCGAGGAGCGTGTATTTCTCATTAACAACTATCCTAAATACACTACAAGACTCGTGTATGGATATTTAACACTACAGGCGAGTATGATATGCAGTGTTACTCAGATGTTTGAAGCATTTCTCCCTGGTTGACGTCAGTGTTAAAATATAGGCCACTCAGTCTGTTGAGACATATCTGACAGAGATTATCACTGATACAATATCTGCCATAAGCGAAAACACGGGTACGCAGGCTTAACACTGACAGATGATCGCTTATTTTTAAATATAAAAAAAAGTCACTCGAGTGGTCAGGTAGTCACCTCACGCACTGACTCACCGGCTCAGCAGTTTAAAACACAAATGAACACTGAACATGTACCTTGGTTTGCTAATGCTGGCGTTAAATATGCTAAACACCACACGCCCCAGAGGGAAGATGTGGATGAGGAAGAAGTGACTCCGTCCACAAGACCCGTAGCCCCCTCCCTGGCGGTCGCTGCCTCCTCGTACCACACACTGTGGTCCTTGTGGTGGTTAGATGCGAGCAGCTCCTTGTCTTTGCCTGTATCTCTCCTCTCGCAGGATCTGTGAGACCCGTCAGACTATGCTCCCCTCTCCTTAAAGGCACCAGTTCAAGTCCACGCCCCATACGCGCCCATGACGCGTTTGGGTGCTAAACTGCCCACGAGAAGTGACTCCAGCCAATTATCCCGGACTCATGTATTGAACTACATGTTTATATTATCTAAAGTACAACAGGCGCGTATATTTTAAGTAAGTAGTCATTCTAAAGGGGAAGTCAGCGGCCATTAGACACACCAACTTTCCACAACTTTTTTTTTTTTTTTTTTTTTTTTACTGCAGGAGCTCTTTGTTTTGGCTTCTTTTAACCTAACACCACATTTATGGCGCCTATAAATATCGAACTGATGGATATTAATGACAGCTCTTTTAAACATTATTCAACTGAAGATGACATTTGTATATAGATATTTGGTGATAATTGGAGAGAGTGTCCAACTTTAACCCACAAGCACTCCTTATAACAAAAATATATATATACTTGAGATGAGCCAATCCTCCCCAACACGCAACCATGAATAGGTATCAATGTGGCTAATTAGCCAGTAATAGCTGTAATGTCTCCAAGCTGTTGCACAACTTCCAATCGGATTTTTGATGAGAACAGTTTCAAATTACGGTGTTTTGTTTCTTAAGCCTCACTTGAATGGATTTTCATCCCATGTGCCAATGATAATGCCCATAAGAGATACAAAGTCGCGCAAACTTGACATGTTTTTGTTTAACAAGTGATCTGGCACAGATGAAGCTATTCATTGGCAAGCATAATAGTGATCCAGAGGAAATGGTTGTCATTTTAGCACAATAGCAGGGAACTAACCGCTCAGCCAACTACCATCAGTGTTTAAGCTATTGTGCCATAATTGTATGAGGTTTCAACATAATGCTGTCTCTCAGGGTTAAGATGAGGTCACTCTACAATAATAATCATATTATATGAAATATGGGAGAAATGCACATCTCCAATTCTGATCAGGCAGCAAAACTTTGCATGCAGAATGAGCCCATGAAATATGTACTGTATTTACACAAACTAGATATGCAGGTCTGGTGTGGGGCTTCACATTGAGACGCCCCAACTAAATATTTCAGCTTGCTAATGTGCGCATGCGTCACAAAATGTTGCACAATATTCTTTTATATGGGCTATTGTAAACACACTGTTAAGTAGGAGGTTCAGAATTGATTTAACTATCACCATGGGCTTCGGGTCAGGATGCAGGATGAATAAACGAAGGCCATTAAACATTTATCCAATCAAACAAAGGTTTATTCTCAGTTAATTATTTTAACATGAAAGGGGAAGACACATGGACTACAGGTTCTGAAAGGATAAAGAAAATAAAGTTTGCACAACAAATCAAAAAAGTCTCATATACTAATTAGAGAAATAAGGATGAATAAGGATAAGTGAGACTAACAAACAAATTATAAGAACTAGAGTGTAACAAACTTCTTACCAGAGATCGCCCCATGTGAGGTGAAAAGAGAGTGACTGAGTGGAGTGAAGCCCTTAAATAAACTTGTCGTACCCAGGTGAACTTTATCAGGTAAATGAGGGGTGTAGGATGAGAAAACAAGAGCCAATCGGTGATAAGGAAGGAAAGGAAGTGAGGTAGGTGGAGAAAGGAAGAGGAAAGTCAAAAGAAAATAGGGATCCTTACTGCACATACTCTTTAAAGTGCAAGGTCCACCTGACTTCCTGACGCGTGTGTGTGTGTGTGTGTGTCAGGTAGGCCACATCAATGAATGACACTGTTGTACTACTACCACTAATAATATTGCATACATACATACATACATACAGTATAACCATAATCGTCAAAATAATAGTGATTTTCTAACGATCAGATGAGAAATTTGTTATCATGGTTGACCTCCAACAAAGCATCTTGCAAGGCAGACACGGTTCTGCATACTACAGAAGGAGGGAGACTGTAAATTTCCACTGACTGATGTCTTGGAAATTTCCATTTCCATTAGAAAAACCACATTTCCCACTAAACCTTGCGCGCATGTAATGCGTATTTGTTATGCGACAGTGATCGGTCGCTCAGAAATGAATGGCAGCTGCAGTGGGGTGAGGACGGACGACCTGAGCTGGAAGCAGAAGTGAATTACCTCATTATTTTTACCGTATCGCTTCGTGCTGCTCTTTTATTTTCGCCTGGAAAGCTCACTTGATTATATTTACACCTAACTTTAGATCATCGTGCCCTCAAATGTTCAAATATATGGTATTGTTTAATACTATATTGTATTTTAGAATACTATGTTGTACAATACTATATTTTATTGTTATAACTTTAATACATTTTAGAGACGAGATTAGACTCATTAACAAGTAGCCTACGTCTTGTGTGCACAGGTAGGCTATCTCATAACAAAATAAAAGAGGAAATGGGGAAAGGGAAAAATTTGGTGCAGGATAACTTCAAGTTAATGCTTACCATTTCCTTCTTTTCTCAGTGAGGTGGGAGCTTGATTATTATTGGTAATAAATACTATTATTAATTACCTTTGGAAGGTACATAGGAGAGTTATGACTGTGACTACTATTCAGTATGAATCCTCACAAGGATATTTATGGGAAAACTTCAGAATAATAGGGGTTTATGAACAGGAAAGCACCTTTATGTTTTGTGTCACCCAACTTTGTTGTTAGTACTAACACTCTATGTGTAAGACCCATGTTAGGCATAACATCCGGTGAAAAACTCTTCCACTGGCAGTCATCTGCAGCTCATAGAAATATAATATCATCTGTAAATCAGCCATGTTCTACATCAGTGATTTAGAACGTTTCCCCTCTTTCTGAAGTTGTCCTAATTAGTCATATAAATTTGGTCAAAATTGCTCAGTACCTTTAAGAATTATGGCACAAGGCAATGCTTACAAGAATTCAGAAATGGATTGTAGGTTATGGTATAGAAAATCAAAAAAACAAATGAAAACTTTCATTTGTTCTTTATTGAACAAAAGTACAACTTTCCACTAATTGTCACTGAAATCGGCTGACCAGTTTTTGAGATACAGAATCTCTTTAACTGACAAACAAACAGACAGACAAACAGGGGGAAAACCACCCCCTAGGCTGAGGCTATAATAAACTCATTGTTTCCCCCTCCCTCATGTCCAACGTAGTTGTGGCCGATTAGAAACACCAGTGTCCTGTTCCACAGCACTCTTCATGTGTACTGTATACACACATCACCAGACCTCCCAGCTTGTGTCATATGGTGCTGGCTATCATTGAGTTAGCTGACCTCACAAACACTATCCTTGGGATAGTTATCTAGAGTTTGTGTTACATGTAAACCTGAATTGTCCAGACCAGAAATGAGCTTGTTTAAAAGAGGTGGTATAACAAGTTGTCCAGTCAATTCAGGTGAAGTGCAAATAATTGATCAAATAACTAGAAAATACTCAGATGCCATATGAAGGTTGCGCAGTCCAACACATTTTTAAATCTGAATGCATATCCATGGTCAATGACAATTTTTTTGAGATTTTTTCTGATTCTGTGAAGGTTAGAGCTTTGTACACTGATGAAAACAATCAGTTGAGTCACACACATAACCATTCAAAATTTTCATGTTGCTATAGCGCCACCTTTTCCATTATACTGTATATGTAAGATCACCCTGATTATTATTGTAGTATGGACAGGCTCAGAAATGTTTGCAAATGCAGGAGCTCCATCTACAGACATAAGCCTGCACATACAAGCAATTACAGGGTCTAACCAAATAAGTTGTAGGTAATTAAGATGAAGATGGATGCCCACCATGCTGTAGTGAAAGGGATATCTGCCAGGTTGGTTCTGCAACACGTGGACATTATTTTGAAGAAAGAGCTTGTTCAGATGCAGATATTGTTGGTAGTTGTGTTACATGTTTATTGGATTACTCCACAACCTTTATCTGATGGATATAGCTAAATTACCATGCAGAATATGATTTTACATACATATTGTTGACTTATAATACAATGCATTGCAGTTGGTTAAACTACCCAGCAGCATATAAAATAGTTAAAGCTGATTCCACCAGCCAACTAGAACAGTAAGGCTGCTCACATACTAATGTATGAAATAATAGTCCAATAAGAGGACTGACAGGAGTAATTCTGCTCCATAATGAGTACTCGGAGCAGCAAAGTATGTTTCGGTTTTAATGCTTGTAGATTTAAATAAGATTTTGGATGCAGGACTTTTACCTGTAATTAAATATCTTTACATTAACTCAAGTATGGGATCAGAGTACTTCTTCCACTACAGAATTTCTGACCCCCTCAGATATTGATACCAGCATCAGCCCCAAAAATTATAGTTTGTATTATTTATTGCACCTGTGCTTTTAAGGCTATGAAAGGGGATATTGCCTATTTTCGTTGTATCTAAAAGATCGTGGTCTAGTTCTACATTATATAACAATAACCACTTATATACATATATTTCATCTGACATCTTTATTTAGAGTAACAATAAAAAAAAACTGCATCGACTGTATGGTAGCAGTACATTGTGGTCATTGTCAAAAAATATCTGACAGTGAGGTGAGAGGTTTGTAAACATTGCACATCCTGGATTATACCAAAGCCGGAGGGCAGTGAGTTCACAGTAACGTCTACATCTAATTTTTAAAGCTGCACGGAGAGAAACTGGTTTCTTTTTGCTCCGGGCGAGAATTAAGTAAAAGTTCGTCGTGTGTTGACTTCTTAATGACAGTTTAAAAACAAATATCTCCTTTACTGTTCAAAATACCCCCGCCCCACCCCTTCTCTGGGCGGAAGTGAACTGCGCGTCAGTGTACGTCTCTGTATCAGCTGAGTTTGAGGATCCCGCCCCGTTGGTTGTGACTATCATCAGCCCTGGTACTCTGGCGATGGTTGCGGACCACACACATATACACGCATCCTCAGAACAAATTACCGGTTTGCCACCACCTTTCTTCGGGCCACGGTAGCGTGGGATATTCACTATG